GGGGCAATCGTGAGCAAAAAAATTCAAAACTTCGTGAAGTCCCTTTAAAGCGATAGTGATCGTGAAATATTGAATACTTGTTTTGTTTACATCAAAGTGCATCACGGTATCAGCGATCCACCTCCGTTTCTAACCTTTTTGATTCATCTTAGTTTGAGCTTAACCATAGCAACATCAGAGACCTCGCTGTAAATCTAGTCCAGGATCCGCTTGACTTTTCTGGCTTTTTGAATTTTAACTCATTCAATGCCAATGATGACTAAAGTCATCATTTGCATTTTTTTACTGTGGGCGTCGGACGAGCCCCCGCGCTGAGAGAACAAACATCTCGGCTCTGAAGCCGATCTTCATCCGCGTACGTCACACGTCACGTGATCAGGAAGCAGAACGTCCATGTGTTAGGAGATCGTTTTGGGCCGCTGCTGTAAAAAAAAGAAGAAGTGAGGAGCGAACCGGAAAAGCTTCTGCCGGTCACAATTCGACAATGGATTATGAAAGAACGGATAACGCTCGAAACGCGCAGATTTTTCCTGATGTAAGAGGTGAGTCTCGGCTTTGTTTTGGTTGTTTTGGCGTCGACATCATCCTAGCGCGCAACGTTCTGTGACTCTTAAAAAAACAGTAAAAAACGGTGAGAAACGCTGGCAGCGAAGGGCTTTACCGATCAGGAAACGGTTGCCAGTGAATGAGTTAAATGACTCCAAACATTTAGTTTAGCAACTAAATCTCAGTCACTGTTTGTGATCAGGTGAACTCTGGCCAGGTGCTCGTGTTTACTGTAGAAAAGAGCTGCACAACATCGATAAGGTCTGTGCTGCTGCAATAAAAGTTGTTTTCTGGGTTTTAATTACATGAAAGCAAAGTGTGGCTTTCAATTATTGGTACTAAAAATCAAGGTGGGGCATAATAGGTGGAATATGTTGTTATGGGCTCCTGTTCAAACAAGCAAAAACAGCAAGTCTCTTCTGTAATGGACCAAAGTATCAAATACATCACGGAGAAAAAGGGTTGGACGATTGGACGAATCATTTGGCCGTCAGTGATTGGCCAAGCCCTTTTTATGAGCGATATTTAATATGCCTAAAGTCTCTCAGATGGGACATTGTACACTTGTTCTTTGTACATGTAAACATTACACATCATTTGAAAGCAATGAAATTGGAAAAGAAAGTCTCATGTGGAACCATCGTATCCTGTTTCTGCAAACTGAGTCAGAACGACTGTGATTGGTGGATCGCTGCGTGCAGCGTGTGTCAGGCCCACAGAACATTTAAAGATCTGCAAACCTCTGCGTGTTCTGTTTTCTAGGAAACTCGCAAAGACTCACTTTGCTTCTTGTGGTCAGATAATCGGAGACGTTGTTGACATGTTGTCTTCTGGGTAGAGTGTGCTGATAAAGATTAATTCTGCAGTTCAGAACTTAAACATGAGGGAGTAATTAGGGAATTAAAACCTGTAAGTTCTCTTATTTTGAAGTCACATGGACGCTTTCATTTAACAATAATGTTATCTGACAGAATTCCAGCCTGGTGTTCCCTGGAAAGGAATACATAGTGGAGGAGACCCGGAATCGGACCCCTACATGACTCCTGGCAGTGTTCTTGGCTCCCCAGGATCCCCGAACCTCAACGATCCAGACCACCCGCTACTGCGAGACAATATAGGTATGTAACCACTCGTTGGGGTAATTTCCCATTTTACAGAAAACCAGTCAAATGTATTTATGAAACGCCCTTCAAAAGAAAACCGGACTTAAGGAAGCGTTGCTCCGCCGAATTCCCACGTCCAGTCTGTTTCTATGTGCTACGCTTCCAGTTCAGATCAGGTAAGACGGGAAGTCAGACATGAAAGCAATGTAAAACATCTGGAAAATTTTCAAAATAAAGGTTCAGAATTTCAATTGCTTGACTAGTGAAAATAGGGCGTTAGTACCCGTGAAACCTCCGTAGCCGAGGTAAACGGAACAGAAAATCAACTACGGACCTTTTTGGATAAGTGCTGCCATCTTTCTCCTTCCTGGTTATCTCGTGAGCTGCTGAAATCGCGGTTCTACAATTCTCCGGGTCCTTTTTGGACCTTCTATATGGAACGATTTTGCTGCTGTTTCGCGCTTGAAACGCTCCCGCTGGGAAGGAAGCTCGCGGCTGACGAGGTTGTTTAACGAGAGACGGGTTGTTGAGTGAATGTAGGCCAGTGGTACGGGGAGGAAAGTGAAATAAAGTTGTAAGCAGACATTTCTCTAATACATTTCATTAGATCAGAATCCAGGACAGACCCGTTTAAATGAATGAATGACTAATGTTGCAAACACAAAACGTTCTCCCGTCTTTTTCCCCTGAATAATCTTAAGTCAACACGTCAAATCTGCATCAAAGCTGATTGATATGTGATGTTTTTGTAGGGCCAAACCCCCCCCTCAACACCTCGCTGCCTTCACCTGGTGCCTGGCCCTACAGTGCCTCAGACAGCTCCCTCAGCAATGCGCACAACACAGGTTTGGTTTGTCCTCCTTTCTGTTTCCTGATTATGTTCGTACCATTTAATGTCAAACGGGGTAACCGCGGTGCGTTTGTTTATCCCTCTTAGGAAAGTACTCCGAGTACAAGCCCAGCTGGCCTCCAGAGCCCATCGGACAAAACAAGTTATGGAAGACCAGTCGCAATAGCTCACAGCTGCCACGCCCACCTCCTGGCCTGACCAATCAAAAGCAGGCCTTGCCCTCCCCCTGGGGTTCTGGAGGCCCACGGTCGGCCCGGAGCTGGGTGGGAGGTGGGGTGAATCAAGAGTCGAGATTTGGGTCAGGTACGGTTTTACAGGGAGTTTGTTTCATAATCGCCTTTGACTTGATTGTTCAGAGGAAGATTTTTCAGGTCATGAAGACTCTGGTCCGACCACAATGTGCTCATTCACAAGCAATCTTTAAGGTCACGTGCTGTGATAATGCATCCGTCCCGTTTGTGTGTTTGTTTTTAGGCTCAGCTTGGAGCGACGGCGTTTCCTCCAGAGGCAGCTGCTGGTTGCTGCTGAGCAACTTAACCCCCCAGGTAAAGAAAGGAGAAACCTGTTTAATGACGTCTGATTCAAACGAGCAACTAATGCCAAAACATTCAACCAATGTGTTAAAGAGTTTGTTGTGCAAGAACATTCGGGTTCAGTTTTGTATTCTGTCTTATTTTTTAACATTTAGATAATGGAGAGAGTCTTTTAGAAAGTTCTGGAAGTTGCCATTTGACATGTGATGCAGTCCTTAATAGGGTTGTCACGGTGTGAAAATGTAACCTCACGGTTATTGTGACCAAAATTACCACGGTTTTCGGTATTATCGCGGTATTTTTTTTAAACGTGCTACATTTTCACACAATTAAATAAACCCTGTATGTCAGGAAAATATTGTCCTCAGTTTGTGTCTAAATTTAGCCTAAAATGTGTTATTTTGTAATTATGTTGTTTATTTGTTAACATATTTCCCCTTTAGTCTTTAAAATACCAGTGTTTGCCATAACTTCTTATTTTTTGTCTGTTTGATGTCATCATTTAAAAATATTAGACCAGATGATACTCAGTACTCAAGTAGCCTTCTAATCAGGTACTTTTTACCCTTACTTGAGTAATAAACCCTATATCAGGAAAATATTGTCCTCGGTTTGTGTCCTTCCAGTGAGCTTTGCAGATGTGGGAAAATGTCATCAGGCAGTAATCATTGTTAAATTCATAATTATTCTCGGAGAGAGACCAACTCTTATCTGCCCCTGGGAGCCCCGTAATGCATAGCGTCATTTCAACATGGCGGTGTCCGCGACACGGTTTATATGCAGGCAGCGGCGCTGCGGCTGCTTTATATAGCGACTCGTTGCATTCTCCCTCAACCCAAATCCTCGGATCACGCATTTTAGCTAAAACGCTAACATTAGCTTGCCTTGCGTTGACTGTAGAGTTGTGGGTGATGGTCACGCAGATGTGTCATGAGATTTGAAGCATTGCTGCCTTTCACAGACACTTTTTCTGCACGTGCTGCAAACAGGATAGCCGTCTTCTTTCAGCTGTCCCTCGGCATTCTTCAAATATCCAAAAAATGCCCGTACTTCCCACTTTGTCTTCTTTGAGGGATAAAAAATGTCCTGAGCTTTGCCGTCTCCTCCTTTGGCCATTATTTCAGCTTTAGCTTCAAGAACGTTTTGGTTGTAAACAACAAAGTGCGCATGTGCCGCCGGCAACTTCAGCAGATGATACGGTGGCTGGTAAGGGTCACCGCGCCTACACCACAGCCACGGTAATCCACCGAGATAATATAGGTTTTTTTTTAAAACAAGACAGTTATTGTTGTCAACTTTTTTACTGGGGTTTATCGCTACACCGGTTACCGTGACAACCCTAGTCCTTAATAGTTTCTGGCTGTATAGCTTCGGTTTTATCGCACTAGTGGTGGATTGAAAGGGTTTCTGCTCATTCACCTGCGTTTCGTCCGCTTTGTCACCCATAACGATGCACGGCCCAGCAGGAATGGGACTATAATGTTTCGATTTGGGCTTTTTTCCACAAATTATCTCAGCAAGCCACCTGTCATAAAAACGTGAAGTTGAAAATACGAACTTGTCTTCTTGGCCATACCCACGAGCTTCTGTGATGTTTATTTTACTGTTACAGTCAAATCAATACAGATCGATTAAGCTGGAGCCTCCTGTTTTCCATTATTAACTGTGTCATAATCTGGTTTGTTTTTCCGTGTAGATTGATGGCTCCACGCTAAGGACGATCTGTATGCAGCACGGCCCCCTGCTGACCTTCCACCTGGGCCTCACCCAGGGCAGCGCGCTGATTCGTTACAGCAGCCGGCAGGAAGCAGCCAAGGCTCAGAGCGCTCTGCACATGTAGGCTCACTGGTCGTCTCTCTGACACACAAATGCTAACCGGTAAACCTTCTCATGCTGATCTAATGTTTTATATTTCTGACAGGTGCGTTCTGGGTAACACCACAATCCTGGCTGAATTTGTGAGTGAAGAAGAGGTTGCACGCTATTTTGCACATTCCCAATCTGGAGGGTCCGAGGGGGGCAGCTCAGGGGCAGCAGCAGCAGGCAGCGGGGCGCCTAGCTCATCTGGAGCAGGCACGGCTGTGGGCAGCAGCGACAGGACCTCCCCGGGGAGTGAGCGAGCAGCAGTGGGCGTGTCTTCAGGCGGGAGTGGAAATGGTAGTGCAGGAGGAGAGAGCGGAGCAGGGGTTCTTGCTGGAGTGAGGTCTTCTGGCTCTGGATGGCAGAGTCTTGATGGTACAGGCACCTCTTCAGAGACCTCCTCAGCCCAAGGACCCGGGCTTGCTATATTTTCCCAGTGGAGCACCAACGGTGCAGGGGAGGGAGGAGGTGTTGGGGGAGTAGAGTCTGGTAGGCCTGGGCTATGGGGGGGCATGAGCGCAGGATACTCGAGCAGCAGCCTTTGGGGGGCGCCACAAATGGAGGAAAGACACCAAATAGACAGCTCAGCTGGGCTGTTGCCCGGCGACCTGCTGGGGGGAGGAGCCGATTCCATCTGACGAGCCCTCCGTTTGTACGAGTGGCTTTGGACACACTGATATGGCATACACTGGGATACATATGTACTTACTATGGCACACATATATACATTTACATGGTATGCATATTAATGTACTGAAAACATACACGTGCATACTAGTATGCATATTATTGTGCACAGACATAAAGCAGAAATGTGAGACATGCTTACACACATTCTCATGGCCAGACTTAAGCTATTATAAAGAAAAACAAATGCAGGGACTGTTAGATGTGTATTCAGCCTTTTTCCACAGATGAAGATTTCAACTGCTTAGACTTGAAACCTGAAAAAGAATGATCAGTCAGTAAGTCTCAAAGACTTGACTGGATTGCAATGTGCTTAGTAAGTAGGGGACTTTTATTTTTGAAAAACCGATTTACATGAACATGCACACACCAAATACAGAGAAGCCTTCAGACAGGTAGGCACCGTCAGCAGCATTACCTTCCTAACACGAGAATTTACTGCAGAGGTTAAAAGTGCAGTTTGTGTTTGCATCCCCTTAAAGACAGAGATTAAATCCAGACACATGCAAACAGCTCTGATTGACAGCAGAACTGTATCTTACTGTGTTAAGTTTGTTGTTTGTATGTATGGTTTTAATTTTGAATGATTTTTTTTTTTTTTTTTGGAAAATGTTAATGAAATGTCATGGATCTGTTTTGAAAATGCTGACCTCCTACTGTTGTATCTCACACTCTTTTCTCTGTCGTGGAACATGTTTGTTACTGTTGCAGTGATCCATGTTAAATTGCTGACAGTTTCAGGCTATGATGCATTTCTCCATGTGTGTCGATACTGCGCGCAGTGTCATGCACACTGAGTATGAGTGAGACTGAGACCAAGTAAGTGGATTATACACCATCACGTTTGTGTGTGTGTGTGTGTGTGTGTGTGTGTGTGGGTGTGGAAAATGTTGTGCGCATGTTAATGCCTGTCATAATGTGGGCAAGGCTGCTTACTATACAGAAGGTCTATACAAACATGTTGAGTGCATTCGATTTACTGCTGACTGTGTGTTCAGAAATATTGGCACTAATGCTTTTTTTTCCCTCTAATTTGAGTTTTTCTTTTTTTAGTAGACTTGTATTTTATATTGTCTGACCTGCAATAATAAAAAAGAACATTTTAAATGACACAAAGAGCTGAAGGCATAAGCGTTGAGAAAATGGACATGCCAAATCTTATCAAACTGTGGAGGGGGAGGGAGGGGTGGGGCGGGTTGTTTACAATTAGAGTGTTACCGTACGTTTTTAATGTTTCGTTGTTGTGTATTTGTTTTAAATTAAGACAGGCTTTAACACTCCTGTTCAGTGTTTTCGTTTTGAGATTTTACAAAGGAAAACTTTATTTAAACAATGAGAACAAGATTAATAAAGATGAAAGTATTGGCTTCTATGTGTTTTCCATGTGCTTTTTATCTTTCCCCCCCCCCCCCCCCCCCCACCCCCCCGTCAACAGTGTAGGTGCACAGTCGGGGTCTTTTTGGTTATTTGACTCTTTAATAAGGCAAATTAAAATGTGCTACTCAGGATAAAGTTGTTGTATGCTGGAACAACAGAAACAAGCAGAGGTTCCCACCATAAACAAATTAATCAGATTTAAAACCCACATCAGTCTACACTCACCTAAAGGTTTATTAGGAACACCTGTTCAGCCTCTCCTTAATGCAATTATCTATTCAACCAATCACATGGCCACATGGCAGCTGCTTCAATGCATTTAGGGGTGTGGTCCTGGTCAAGACAGTCTCCTGAACTCCAAACTGAAGGTCAGAATGGGAAAGAAAGGTGATTTAAGCTATTTTGAGCGTGGCGTGGTTGTTGGTGCCAGACGGGCCGGTCTGAGTATTTCACAATCAGCTCAGTTTCTGGGATTTTCACCCACAACCATTTCTAGAGTTCACAAAGAATGGTGTGAAAAGGGATAACCATCCAGTATGCAGCAGTCCTGTGGGTGAAAATGCCTTGTTGATGCTAGAGGTCGGAGGAGAATGGGCCGACTGATTCAAGCTGATGGAAGACCCTAACCCTCGTTACAACCGAGGAACGCAGCAAAGCGTTTGTGAAGCCACAACACGCACAACCTTGAGGTGGATGGGCTGCAACAGCACAAGACTCCAGCGGGTACCACTCACCTCCACTACAAGTAGGAAAAAGAGGCTACAGTTTGCACCAGCTCACCAAAATTGGACGGTTGAAGACTGGAAAAGTGTTGCTTGGTCTGATGAGTCTCCATTTCTGTTGAGACGTTCAAATGGTGGAGTCAGAATTTGGCATGAACAGAATGAGAACATGGATCCATCATGCCTTGTTACCACTGTGCAGGCTGGTGGTGGTGGTGTCATGGTGTGGGGCATGTTTTCTTGGCACACTTTAGGCCCCTTAGTGCCAACTGGGCATGGTTTAAATGCCACGAGCTACCTGAGCATTGTTTCTGACCATGTCCATCCATTCATGACCACCATGTACCCGTCCTCTGATGGCTACTTCCAGCAGGATAATGCACCATGTCATAAAGCTCAATCATTTCAAATTGGTTTCTTGAACACGACAATGAGTTCACTGTACTGGGCGACGGTGGCGCAGGAGTTAAGTGATTGTCCCGTAATCTGAAGGTTGCAGGTTCGAGCTCCGCTCAGTCTGTCGCTATCGTTGTGTCCTTGGGCAAGACACTTAACCCACGTTGCCTGCTGGTGGTGGTCAGAGGGACCGGTGGCGCCAGTGCTCGGCAGCCTCGCCTCTGTCAGTGCGCCTCAGGGCAGCTGTGGCTACATCGTAGCTCATCCCCACCAGTGTGTGAACGTGTGTGTGAATGGGTGAATGACTGGTTGTGTTGTAAAGCGCCTTGGGTTCCAGGACTCTAGAAGGCGCTGTATCAAATACATTTACCATTTTACCATTTGTCCTACAACGGCCCCCACAGTCACCAGATCTCAACCCGATGGAGCATTTTTGGGATGTGGTGGAACGTGAGCTTCGTGCCCTGGATGTGCATCCCATAAATATCCATCAAACTACAAGATGCTATCCTATCAATATGGGCCAACATTTCTAAAGAATGCTTTCAGCACCTTGTTGAATCAATGCCACGTAGAATTACAGCAGTTCTGAAGGTGAAAGTGGGTCAAACATGGTATTAGTGTGGTGTTCCTAAAAATCTTTTAGGTGAGTGTATACGAGCTGGCATTCTGTTCCACTTGATCTGTTATAGTGCTTGCCCTTGGGCCCCAAGTGTTTATATAAATATGTATGGATCCTTTTTTATCACAAAGGTCCCATTTATGATCATAGACATGAATTGGGCGCTGGCGAGGGTAATAACACCGCCACCATATTGGGTGGGTTCTTTACTTTCCAAACGCAGCTGGAGTCAACACACGGGGGGCAACTATGCCTAGTTTGTGTTGCAACTGGTGCATTATTGAAAAGGGATCATGTGAGTTTTCTAACCTAACTGTTGGGATTTAATTTTTTTTACTTTTTTGATTATATTTATATTTTAACTATCATGCCATACCATATGTTTGATTTAGTGAAAAAGCATAATAAAACGTGTTTTTGTTATTTTTGTTGGGTTAACACCTTCCTAGAAATAAATGCCCTGAGAGTGAATGAGAACCCACCCAAGATGGCAGCCTGCTACACATCAGCTCCAATAGACAGCGCCACTGTAGAACTAGCATTACATTTTTTCATTATGTAGAAATAAAATAAAAAGTACATCCTGTGGTAAAATTTGGTTTTTGCAACCACTTTAAACAACTCTGGAGCTTTTTGCTGGCCATCGTCAAATTACAATTGTTGGCGCTGCAGTATTGGATCGCAGGAGACACGCCAACCCCATACTCACTGATGGTAAACAATTGTCACGTCCCTCCGTCCTTTAGGAGAAAAACTGACAATCCCTGCAGCCAGCTGGATATGAAATAGGTTTCAGAATAACCTTCCTTCCAAAATAACTGAAACATTAGACTCCTGGGATTTTCTTACTGTAAAATTCTCACTATATTCTTACATACTGCACCTTTAAGAGAGAGAATAGTTTTCACCTTTGGCTGTTGCAGAAGTATGTCAAGGAAACCAAAAGGTTAAAAGCTTTCTCTGTTTTGCAAAAAAAGAATGTGAAGAATGAAGACTGCTGAACTGTTGTTGTTCTGATGTAAATCCTTATTGAAATTGTGTGAGAATAGTCCAATAGAAACTGTTATAGTTGGTAATTTATGAAGTTCTTCCAAATGAACTGACAGTGGCTGGTTCCACATAAACACAAGTAATTAATACAACACAATTTTGCTTGCTATACTATGCCACTCAATAATCATTTTAATAATGACGATAAGTAAAGGGGGATTTAATTAATAGTCTGATTGTGAAGCTGAGAACATATTTCGGTGTGACGTTCCCTTTTAATGACACCGTCCTTGACATCCAGGAGAGTGACATCATCGACGCTGTGAACACGCACGTTGTTAAGTAACGAGAGAGGGCGGGGACAAAGGCATACTCGTGTGGAGAACGGCAGTCGGTGCAGCTGGAGCTTCTCGGGGACTGTCGACAGGGAGCGCAACCGAAGTCGGAGCTTAGAGCTGGGGGTATGAGAGCTGCCAGAATCCGCTCCCATCCTCCTCTGGTCGGTTTCCAATCTGACTGACAATCACTTGATCAGAATCTCCACATCAGTAGCTTTCGGACGAACCTGATATCGGGTGAGTGTTGGGTCTGGGAACCGGCGAAACCAAGGGGGAAAAGAGACTCGGTTCGACCGAGACGGAGTCTCCTATTCACGGCTTATATGAGAGCGGGGGGAGGGGGCGAGTAGTACTACTGGCAATCTACATGGGCTAGTTTATTATATAAAAGGGCGCGGTTGTTAACGAAATAAAACACTTGGCTTAATTTAACGTAGAAAAGCAAAGCTTTTATTTTTTTTAAACTGTTTATAGTCCGGTACGCGTCACGGTTCAGATATCTCCTAGCTTACTCGTAGCAGCTAACTTGGGTTAATCTGTTTAAGTAAAAACGCATGTAGATTGAACAGCTTTTTAAATGTTTTTGTTTCGTTTGTTGCTGCTAAAAATTAAGCTGGAAGATTCTTATTTACTTCAACCGAACGACGCACGTCAATCCAGTTCCGCTTTTCCGTGAGAATAATTTACGTCAGCGAGGAGTGCTCAGTGCACAGAACATCGAATGTGTAGCACACTAGTATTTTTGTGTGACAGCTGAGAGAGGCGTTAACAGTTTCTACTGACTGCGAATTGTGTTTTGTGCTTGGCCGAGAGGTTCCGTCCCATGGCTGCTCCAAACGCACAAGTCTTTCTAAACACTGAAACGTTTAATTTCACTCTTCATGCCGTCTCTGTGAGATCGTGGTATATCTTCTTGGAACATCATGTCTCCGCAGCTACTATTAGGAGTCCCCTTAACCAACAGATGTGTACTGTACCATGTTGACCAATCCACTCTGCTGTAGACGATTACTACCGTAGCAGCACATGTTGTTTTCCCGAGTGCAGTGTGACAGGCTAATTCCCCCTTGCTTCATGTTACATAGGCCGGCTCAGAATCGCCACATTTGCCTCAAAGCTGTTCACTTCGTACATTAAACCACAGGATCTTTATCAGATTGATTGTGAGAATGAACACACAAACCACAGTCTTGTCAAGGGTGCTGGTGAGCTTTTTGTGTCACTGTCCTTGTACTAAACAATCAATCACTCACTGTTTAGCCTTGTGCTGCGACCAGATTCAGGGATTCACGTGAGGCTGATGCTTGGTGTGATGAACTCTTAACTCTTTATTAACCCAGATTCACCTGCATCTGTCATGTCTACAAGGCTGACCTGTCCTCTTCAGGTTGAGTAGTTCATTATGACTAAAAGATGGGCGTGCAACCTGCAGCTCTGGAGTCCAATGTGGCTCCTTACTTGGGTGGCTGCTTGTAACTTGACCAAATAAGATATAAACCTGAATATCACTTTTAAGGAGATGGTTGGAAAATGTAGTTTTAACTGTTTTCCTTTCCAGATCTTTGAAACAAGAGCTTGAGATTTGTACAACATGACATCACCAATAGTATAAGTAGGGTGCTTCCTATCATTTCAGTTTTAGAATTAAAACATCTTCAGCCTCCTTCAAAATGTCTTAAATGTGGTCATCAGTTTTTCTGGTGATGAGCTACAACGCAGCCACAGCTGCCCTGGGGAGTTCAGACAGAAGCAATGCTGTCAAGCATTGGCACCACGGGTCACTCCGACAACCACTAGCATGCAGCGCAGGTTTCGTCTGTTGTTCAAGGACGCAATGACTGCGACAGAGGGGGCTCAAACCTGCAACCCTCCAGTTACAAGGCAGACACTTGACTCCTCTGCTACCGTCAGTAAATTCTATATTTTGTTAGTTCATTCCCTTCTTTGTTTATGCTGCTGATTTGACATTTAAGTTGGTCCATTTGTACAATCATAAATCAGTCATTTTCACTTATTTGAACAAAACTGAAGTAAAAACAGAAGGAAAATTTGCTCAACTATTAGAAGTCTCAAAATCAAAACCCTTTTCTCAAAAAAAGCAGCAGAACATGGGATAACAGGACCAGTCGGCTAGCTCCTCTTATACCAAAGAGAGAAATGTGATAATTTGAAGGTGTGGAACACTGAAATATAATTTTTAAATGATAATTTCTGGTTATAACGGGTCACTCTGAGTTTTTCATGAAGGCTGAACATGAAAATAGTCTCCTACACTGATCTCCTGCATTAGCTTCTGATAGAAAACAGACGGTGAAACTCTAGGGTTAGAAAATCCTGACAGATCTACGTCACACTGTCGCTTAACATTCATGGACTCACCCATCTTGGCTCACGACAGGAAAGGCTGTTGTTGGTTTAGCGTCCAGGAAACAGCAGAGAACGTCTAAGCTAGTAGAAGCTAACCATAAGCATTAGCAGCTCCATCAAATAGCAGAACTTCTCCAGGCTTTTGTTATTTGTGGAGATAAAACATCAACATTGCAAAGCAGTCGGTAGTAGAGTCATGTTGCAGTTAGCCAATCAGAAGAGGGGTGTCCGAATATCAGGAAATAAGACTCCAATTCCTGTCGTCTGAAGCTCAAGTCTGATGCGGCTCACTCCTACTTCCTGAAACTGGTGCACCGGAGCTTTGTTTCCCCTGAGTACAACTTACAAAGCATTCATTCCTATGAGAGACCACTACAGGTTAGAGATGTGAGAAAATATTGAAATGGCAATATATCACTATATATTTTTCTTGCGATATTATATAGATATTCAAAAGCCGTGTATAGAGTTTGTGGAAGAATTGACATGCAAACATTTGTTTTATTATCTTTTGGTGCAATTCAAACACAGGCCACTAGTTGGCAGCAGTGTGCAGTGGGTTTTGTTTCCACCACTAAAATGTAAATTCCTCTGTTATGGTTCAGATACCTCATGTTAAACATGTTTGGATTGTTTATTGAATTTTCCTACAATAATTTCAGTCTAAAAAAATCGCTAATATCGTCTGGCTGAATGTGTTGCATAACATCGTGATTCGTATCGTATCACCAGAATTTCACCAATAGTCATCCCTAATGCAGATGTATTGATTAAATGAGTGAGCCACACCTTTAACTCATTCACAGGCAGCTGTTTCCTGATCGGTAAAGCCCTTCGCTGCCAGCGTTTCTCACTGTTTTTACTGTTTTTTTTTTAAAGAGTCACAGAACGTTGCGCGCTAGGATGATGTTGATGCTAAAACAACCAAAACAAAGCGTAGACTCACCTCTTACATCAGGAAAAATCTGCGAGTATCGAGCGTTATCCGTTCTTTCCTAATCCATTGTTGAATTGTGATTGGCAAAAGCTTTTCCGCTTCGCGCTTCACTTTTATTTTTTTTAACAGCAGCGTCCCAAAACGATCTCCTAACACATGGATGTTCTGCTTCCTGATCACGTGACATGTGACGTATGCGGATGAAGATCGGCTTCAGAGCCGAGATGTTTGTTCTCACGGTGCGGGGGCTCGTCCGACGCCCACAGTAAAAAAAAAAAAAAAAAGCAAATGACGACTCGTTATTGGCAGTGAATGAGTTAAACGCTTTGTAACTCAAACAGTTTTCTTGTTGGTTATTTAAACCACATAAACCCACAACTGCATGAACATGCTTGTTTCGTTTTAGCATTAATGTGCAACCTAATGCTTTTTTCTGGGCTACTAATCTTATTTGACCACATTTCTACCAATATGAGAAGAACAGAATTGGCTTTGCCTAGTTCTGAACAAGAAAGTGTTTTATTGATATATTTTTTTGTAGGACAGTATAGTTTATTCCTTTTGCCTAACATTTATAAACTTAAAGAAATCTTCCCATTGTAGCACAAACTCTAAAAGGGTCAAGCAGATAGCAGTGATGTTGTTCTAATTTAATTTAGTAGAAGAGATGGTAAACGTGTCTTGACTTTTGTAGAGCTCTGGTCTGGGACCTTCATCTTATCTGTTTCATCTGAAATGAATTCTGCTTAGGAAGTCTCAAAGGAAGTTGTGCACCACACGAGCAAGAATTTATGCTGACGACACAAAAAGGATTATTTCTGCTCACTTACGTTGGAGACGAAAGTGAGCTTGTTTCACAGCGCTGAATCAAAACTTGTTGTTTTTAAGGGGCGTAGATTCAGCCATTTCTTCAAAAACTTTCTCCGATTGGTGAAGACGGGTCAGTGTCTGCATTTGTGAGCTAATGTAGAAGCTAAGTCCAACTGTGGGTTCTGGGCCTGGTCCCAGACAAAGGTCCATTGTTGCTGCAGAGGGTACATTTTGTTGACAGTCCCAAGTAAGTGTTGGGTAAACCAGCGTCTAATAAATGTTCCTCTGCAGCCCTTTGAAGTAAATTTCACAGAATAGTCTCTTTGGCAGTGCCAGCCCGGAGCAGCAGAGCTTAGTCTTTGCAGTGGCTGCTCAATGTGGCGTGTGAGAACGAGCGCTAAATAAGTGATGATCCTACTCAGTCACATGCAGCTCAGCTCCAAATGTATTTCTTTTCCTCGTGTGACCCAAGTGCATGCACTCGTACAGCAATAGTCTCCTTCTCAGTCCAGCTCCACGTGCAAACTGATGTCTGCCCTCATTTTACTGGATTTCTCACTCCTCCCGTTCCTGATTCTGCTGAACTGGGAGTCTTTGCCCTCCCATCTCTCGGCTACTCAACAAATCTCAGTTTGGGTTTCTGGAGACCAGACAGCTGTTTTGTGAGCATCTAGCAGGATGCAGCCTCTCTAATTTCCCTCTGGGATTAATAAAGTATCTTTGAATTGAATTGAATGACGTGGTCAGTGTTACAGATTAATTTTGCATCATTGGGAATCTTTTTTAATATATTTATGCAGGAGATCACTCTTAAGTTTCAGTTTATTACTTAATGTGATAAAAAATAATAAACCATGGTGGGTTTTGTTGTTTTCTCTTAGATCTGCGTTGTTTGTTGATGACAGCAACACCTTGTTGTAACCATGGAGTTGAGAGTGGGAAACAAATACCGACTGGGGCGAAAAATAGGGAGTGGCTCCTTTGGCGACATTTATCTTGGTGAGTTTCTGTTTGCTCTGTTCTCTCACTGTTCCTCCCTCCTAAATGTAGCAAGTCTCCCTTTTCATCCCAACTCTGCGACTTGTTCATTTCACTAAAGCTGACTACCTGTGTAGTAAACTTGACTCTCCTCACTTTCAAGTAGGGCTGCACGATATTAGGAAAACCTGTGATATGCGATAACAGTGATTAATATTGCATTGACAATATTACTTGCGATAAAATTAAAACTTAATTCTGGAACAAAAATAATTTAAAAAAATCATTAAAATGACAAAAGCAAAAGATGTGAGGAAAGGGAAAAAGAAAATCGTCGTCTTCCTCCGCTTATCCGTGTCGTGGGGGCAGCATCCCAACTAGGGAGCTCCAGACCGTCCCTCTCCACCAGCTCCTCCGGCAGGACCCCAAGGCGTTCTCAGACCAGATTGGAGATGTAACCTCTCCAACGTGTCCTGGGTCGACCCGGGGGCCTCCTGCCGGCAGGACATGCCCGAAACACCTCCCCAGGGAGCTGACCAGATGCCCAAACCACCTCAACTGACTCCTTTCGATCCGGAGGAGCAGCGGTTCTACTCCGAGTCCCTCCCTAATGTCCGAGCTCTTCACCCTATCTCTAAGGCTGAACCCGGCCACCCTACAGAGGAAACTCATTTCGGCCGCTTGTATCCGCGATCTCGTTCTTTCGGTCGTTACCCAAAGCTCATGACCATAGGTGAGGATTGGGACGTAGATCGACCGGTAAATCGAGAGCCTGGCTTTCTAGCTCAGCTCCCTCTTCCCCACGACAGATCGGCTCAGCGTCCGCATCACTGCAGACGCCGAACCAATCCGCCTGTCGATCTCCCGATCCCTCCTACCCTCACTCGTGAACAAGACCCCGAGATACTTAAACTCCTCCACTTGAGGTAGGACCTCTCTCCCAACCCGGAGTTGGCAAGCCACCCTTTTCCGGTCGAGAACCATGCTCTCAGATTTGGAGGTGCTGAAAAAGAAAATGAACAAGAAAAGACAATCAGTAGATCCCGGGAAAAGCAGAATCAGCAGAAAGAGCAGAACAAAGCTAACTCAGGCGATTGGTATAGCAAACATTTGAGCTGACCATTCATTGCGACATTAGTCTGTTCTTTGCGATATGCATATTGTGCATGCTGATATCGCGATAACGATATATTAACGATATATTGTGCAGCCCTACTTTCAAACATCATCAGCCATGCTTCTCTTACAGCTGTGATTATTCATCTGTGTGTCCCAGGTGCCAACATTGCCACTGGTGAGGAAGTTGCCATCAAGCTAGAATGTGTGAAAACCAAACACCCACAGCTGCACATCGAAAGCAAGTTCTACAAGATGATGCAAGGTGGAGGTAAGAAAATGCTTTTCTGATTCTTCTGAAGTCTTTTTTATTTTTTTTAATTTATTTTCCAGATTTATAGTCCTGACTGGATAGGAGATGTAAATATCCCACCAAACTCCTTCAAAACAAAAGCCGTCTTGGGCGGTGGACCTGATAATGCCACCACAGGCGTGTTTGTAGGATTTGCTCTTTTTCAAACTGGTTTACATATCTAACATTTGTTAAAACTTTGTTTTGCTTAGTGGGTATTCCATCAATAAAGTGGTGTGGTGCAGAGGGAGACTACAACGTCATGGTCATGGAGCTGCTCGGTCCGAGTCTGGAGGACCTTTTCAACTTCTGCTCCAGGAAGTTCAGCCTAAAGACCGTCCTGCTCCTGGCGGACCAGATGGTATGACCCAGACCTCTCTTTAGAGTAACAGTCAGTTTTACTGTTCTTTTTCTGTTTTACAATAAAAACAGACACAAAAATAATCTCTCTGCTCTCTTCCTGAACGTTGTTTTAGAAACAACTGTCTCCTTAAGGATTAGGTCGTGTAATGGTCCGCTTCATTTGTTGGTGTGTTCCGTGACGCTGATACAGCTTTGGTCTGTGTTGATGTAGATGCTTCATGCTGTGGTCTTTGTGTTAACTTAGCCAAGGTTTCAACCCCTTCTTCTGGATTTTACTCCACTTTTCAGCTGTAGGTCCTGACTGCCTTGTCCTCATATGTCCTGTTGCCCCTCTGTGTTGATTAGCTCAAGTCATTGGGGCAGTTAAATCAGCTGAGTGACAGACAGCGAGGTCTTTCCTGTGTACTGTTTAATTTCATGTGTGTTCGTTGTTTGACCCTGCTCCAGATCAGTCGCATCGAGTACATCCACTCCAAGAATTTCATCCATCGAGATGTAAAGCCAGATAACTTTTTAATGGGGCTCGGCAAGAAGGGCAACCTGGTGTACATCATCGACTTTGGCCTGGCCAAGAAGTACCGCGATGCCCGCACACACCAGCACATCCCCTACAGGGAGAACAAGAACCTGACTGGAACTGCCCGCTACGCTTCCATCAACACACATCTTGGAATTGGTGAGACTGACTAAAGAACACATGGCTGAGGAGCTCAAGCTCTAAAACAGTCATTTAAACGAGTAAAGGAATGTCTAGCATGTTTTTTGTCCAGTCAATCATTTCGTACATCTAGTTGTCAAAACCCACCTCTGAAAGCTATAAAGTAAAAGTCCCACTAGTTGGTTTATTATTTTATCATGATTAGGGTTGTCACGGTAACAGGTGTAGCGGTAAACCCCGGTTAAAAAAGTTGACAATAATAATAACAGTCTTGTTTTTAAAAAAACTATATTATCTCTGTGGATTACCGTGGCTGTGGTGTAGGCGCGGTGACCCTTACCAGCCACCGTATCATCTGCTGAAGATGCCGGCGGCACATGCGCACTTTGTTGTTTACAACCAGAACTTTCTTGAAGTTAAAGCTGAAATAATGACAAAAGGAGGAGACGGCAGTGCTCAGGACATTTATTATCCCTCAAAGAAGACAACGTGGGAAGTACGGGCATCTTTTGGATATTTGAAGAATGCCGAGGGACAGTTTATAGAAGACGGCTATCCTGTTTGCAGCACGTGCAGAAAAAGTGTCTGTGAAAGGCAGCAACGCTTCAGATTAGAGCCCTGCACGGGCCTAAAATCTGAGCCCGTGTCCGGCCCGGCCCGAGGGGGTGGAGCCCCAGCCCGACCCGGTCCGAAAAGTTTTCAGTAGGGCTGCTCAATTAATCGAATTTTAATCACGATTACGATCTGAGTTTTGAACGATTATAAAAAACAAAACAAGCCGATTATTTGCTCCTCCCGCTTGCGCTGCCCTGAGTTGCAAATGAAGCGCTCCACAGTGTTGCCAACTTAGCGACTTTGACGCTATTTCTAGCAGCTTTTCAGACCCCCTTCTTGACTTTTTAATCCTAAAAGTACCTAGCGAACATCTCAGAAACATCTCTGGTAACCCTTAGCTACTTTCTGGATAACGGTCGTCGACATTTCCTGCAGGTTAGCTAAACACTCCGCCTGAGCTCCGGACCGTTCTTCACAACATTAGGAAAGGGAATGATGTAGTGATGTGTCGGTCGCTAAAGACAGCTCTCGGAGCCGGCTCCTTGTTGGATTAACCAGAGTGAGTGACACACACACCGCACCTGCGGACTCCTGAGCAGCTAAAAACAGCTAAATGTGTGCGTGCGGCACGCTAAACACACGTGCAGCTTGCCCGATTGCTGTGAGACCGGGTTGGGGGGTGGGGGGTGCAGCTGTGGTTGGGACAATTATTACATTAACTGATGGACTTGTAAATAAATAGTTTATAAATAAGGTAGAAATAAGTTCCTCACGCTGATAACTAATAACTAATCTCTCTGAGGACACGGTGCTCCTACAGCACCTTGACACGACTCAATAAATGTTATGCAACATTTTGTGAACATCAATTTATTTGCATTTATTTGTTATAAATGCCACTGTATAATTCTTGCTGTCAGTATTTGCAAGATATTGGTATTTGGTTCTGTACTGGTTAGACTTAAATGAGTTAAACCAAGGTCTATAGCCCTTGGGTCATAAACTATGAGCTATAAGTATATTGGTCTTTTTATACTGGGAATCAGGAGTTATTTTAGTGATCATCTTGTTTCTTATTTTTGTCCTAATTGTGCCCTGAGCAATTTTATGACTGAATAAAAACAAATAAAATCATCATAAATTGAAAAATCGTCCTAAATAATCGTGATCTCAATTTCAGTCACAAAAATCGTGATTATTATTTTTGCCATAATCGAGCAGCCCTAGTTTTCAGGATTCTCTGGCCCAACCCGAGCCCAAGCCTGACTTTTTTTTTTAACCAACTAAATGAAAACAAAGTGCGTCAATCCTGACCAATGTGTTAAAAGACGTGCAGGATCCGATCAATTTGTTTTTCCCTCATTTACCGTCACTGAGATAACGGCACAGGTTCTGGTGTTAATCAAGTTAAATTTTATCTCTTTCCAACAAATTTCACAAGAAAACAAAACAGCAGGGCTTGTGTTGACCGGATAGTTCCCGTATTTGACGGTTTATTTTGACGGAGAAAGAATAGAAAGAATTACCCCGACGAATGCAGACGACCTGACATTTTATTCATTACACACATCGCAGATGTAGCTAAATAACCCAAGAAAAGATTCCCATCTGAACATCTGAGCTGCTCAGCGCAGCTCGCTGTCAGCGCATATGTGCACAGGGAGCTGAAGTTGTGGAGATTGGCTTGGAGCGCGTCGCAGAACCAGAGCGCATTCGGGAAGATTCCTCCCACTGAATCAGAATCAGAATAAGCTTTATTGCCAGTGCTCCAGCGACCCAGAGCATAGGAACTTGACTCCGCAAACACAACCTGACCAAGGTTAAACACACACACATGTAGACAAAAACAGGTACAGGCAGTCACGAGAGCAGCCAGAACGGCGCTCATTTCAGGGCTTTCAGGGCCACTATATTGCCCAAAATTGATACCACACCACTTAATCAATCAATCAACTTTATTAACAGACTCGGGATCCAAAATACACTATAACAACAATAGCAACGAATAAGAGAGGGAAAAAAAACCCCGAATACAAATTATTCGAAGTAGATGGCTATACCAGCGATGCCACAATTGTGACTGAAAACGGATAGTGCTACTGTCGACATTAGTCAGGCACTTAATGATTATATTTCACACTGGTTTAGCCAAAAGATAAACCTATACATCAGAATCCTTAAAGTTGCATGCAATGTATTTATCCCCATAGAAACAAACAAGTGGCTTGCACTTTCCCAACGAGGTCTCTTTAGTAAAACTCTTAAGACAATCATTATATGCTACATGAAGTCGTCGAAGGCTTGATTGTTTGTAGCAGGACCACAGGTGTGCCATATATAACTGAGTACAGTATACTTTTAAAGAGTATCTTTTTCACTACATTAGAGCACACACTAAACCTACGAATCAGCATATTTGCCTGTGCGTACATGCCACGGCATTGTCGATCAATATAGTCATCATCAGCCAAGTCATCATTGATGGAATTCTCCAAATATTTGTATTTGCCACTCGCAGCCAAGGTTTTACCTCACAATGTGAACTGGTGAAACTGTAAACCTTTATCTTCCTTTGTTCTGCAAGTCATGATGACACTAGGATTATAATTGTCATAATCCAGTCCATATTCCGAACAAAAATCTAAGCGTTCCTGAAGCCCCACACTACCAGGACTCAGAATGACAAGATCAACAGCACACATACGATGATTGACTAGGGTTGAACCAATCATACAGCCAGTTCTGACATTATTTAACTTCACTGACAGTTCATCCGTATACAGACTGAAAAGCACAGGCGAGAGAACCCCACCTTGCTTCACCCCAATGGTAGGATCAAAAGGATTCTAAGAATGTACTTGGGTACCCCTTGCTGATGCATTTTAATAAATAGCTTTAGATGGTTGACTCGATCAAATGCTTAAGACTCATAAATAAAGCATAGTAGCACAGAGGAGTTACCTCTTTTAAACTTTCTGATTATTTCTTTTGAAAAAAATATGCATAGATCCGTGCTGTTTTGGTTTAAATCCAAATTGGTTATCAGTAGAATGGGTGAAATCCTTTAACCTACAGAGCAGTACTTTTTCCAGAACCTTAGACACAATGCTTGCCAGAGCAATGGGCTTGTAATTATCCATGCTTCCTACTCTACCTGCTTTTTCCCTTATAACTGGGACTAAAATGACAGACATAGGTGCATCCGGCAAAATGCCATGGGTCAAAAAGCTGGTGAAACGGATAGCCAGGAGAAGGGATAGCCTACCCCCGGTTTCACACTGCAAGCATCAGCGGAACGGAACGGCGGCGAAGCCGCACCGCTTCAAATCAAATCCAATTATAGTCTATGGAGTGTTTCAGACCAGCTGCAACGCGGCAATTTCCAGGCGTATCCCAGAAGCGGCATGCCGCGCCGCTAAAGATGGGATCGAGTTCTATTTTTTCCACGAGCCACTTCTGGGACACGTCAATTTCCGCAGTTCATATAGTGCGAGACAGGAAACCACACGGTTTCAGTGTAAAATCCCCGGTTATTTTCAAAATTAAACGCAAACATTGCGATGTGATCTATAACTTACGTCAGCACGTGTGACCGAACGGCTTTGTTTACCACCAGTTTCTTTCGAGAAGTGCAACGGTGCGATTCCTCGCGGGGGTTGTGATCTCTCGATGAGGAAGGTGTCGGAAGTCTTTTAGAATCTCGAGTACAGCGAGGCGCAGCGAGGAAGCCGTGCCGCGGCCAAGACTCTCCCGGTGTGAAAAGGACCTCTTTGAAGTTCGCGAGTGAGTCGCTCCGCTGCTGTTCCGTTCCGCTGCTGCTCGCAGTGTGAAACCGGGGTAAGGTTAGCATGTTTAAGATGTTCAGTATGTATTCTGTCCAGACAACAGGCTTTACTGTCTGAGAGCTCTCTACCTGCCTGATACACCTCAGATGCCATAAAACTAATACACTCGTTCTTGTTTATCTCTGTTATATTTGTCTGTTCACTGCAAATACGGTTAAATGAAGCATTATAATGTTGTTTCCGGTGCTCGACTTTATAGTCTGGTCCAGAGATTCCATCTACAGAACGTGGCAAGACGGCTTTATTACTGTTAAGGTCTCGGACCTCTTTCCAGATCTGTAATTGTGAAGTAATGCACAAATTTCGACCTGTCTGAATGCTCACAGTACCAATGTTTGGGTTAGATAAACACTTGACCCTTTCTTTTCGCTTTCAAAGCTGTAGCACTTTTTATTTAGCTACATTTTGCTAACATCCACACAACAGAACTACTGACATTTCCCTAAACAAATCGCTGCTGCAGAGTTAAACTTAAGGGATTAAACTGGTTTATTCTGGTTCGCTGCAGAAGCAGGGAGCAACAGATAAACCAGCAAATAAAAAAACGACATGCAGTGAGTCATTTTCCCACACCTGGCTGGTTTTGTAAGCTGAGACTTTTGGTGCAAGTGTTTCGCTTTTAGTTTATTTAGTGTTCAGTTTTATTCCCAGGAACTCCAGGTCAGATTAATGGAAGTGAAAAGTCGTTTAAATGTAGTTGAACTTGTTGTTTTTTTTTTTTTTTTGTTTTGTTTTTTTTACCCAAGAGATGTGGAAACCTTTTTGGAGTTGATCATATTTCCTGTTTGGCTTGGATCTGAAGGACACAGTGTACAGTTCTGATTGGGTAGTGAAGAAAGCAGCTGACAGATCCAAATCATCACTTAGACCAAGGGCTTTTATTAGTACTCTGGATTGTTACTCTAACTGCAACACGCAAATGTAAGTACTTGTACTTGGTATCAGTAAAACTTGGTGCCTGAAATTGTGTACGCTGTTGAGATTTGACAAACGGCTTCTAAACATAATGAGATTATTTTTTTCAATGCTGGCATAAAATGTGACGGGCTTAATGACGACCGATCTTATTCTGCATGTGGACTTGTGTTAATCCATCAGGCTCACTGACAGCTGCCATTTCTGCATCATGCTGAATAGGACTGATGGATATTTTCTGTAAAACTCACCTGTTGCCTGATTGTTTACCTCGGAGCACGTAGAGTCTCTACATTCTCTGATGACGACTTTTAGATGTATTTTAAAGCAGAAAATTGCATCGTAGCTCAGATCTCTTCAGTTTGTTGCAGCTTAATTAAGTTACTCCAAATGGATTTAGGATTGATTCTTTTCTGTCTGTCTGGTCTGGTCTTTCTACTCATGAAAGCCTGTTGAGGACAAGTGTCTGGTCACAAGGATAAATTGGATCAAACGTGTGCGCGGGTGTGTGCTTATATGTTAAACTGACCAGATTTCTTAAACACTCCATCCTTTGTTTTCACAGAGCAGTCGAGACGTGACGACTTGGAGTCTCTCGGCTACGTCCTCATGTACTTCAACCTGGGCTCCCTCCCCTGGCAGGGCCTCAAGGCTGCTACCAAGAGACAGAAGTACGAGCGAATCAGCGAAAAGAAAATGTCGACGCCCATCGAAGTTCTCTGCAAAGGATACCCTTGTAAGTGCCTTCAGGGTGAACACTGGCCTCTAAAATCATTCAGATACTGTAATTAGCTTCATCTGAGCTACAGCTGTGTACATAAAACAATCTAAAATTAAATATTTATGTTTTCTTCCAGCGGAGTTCTCCACATACCTGAATTTTTGTCGCTCATTGCGTTTTGACGACAAACCAGACTACTCTTACCTACGGCAACTTTTCAGGAATCTGTTCCACCGACAGGGATTCTCCTACGACTACGTCTTTGACTGGAATATGCTCAAATTTGTAAGTCAACTTTCAAACTTTTGGCTGTGGTTTTAAGAAGTATGTGGTGACGAGTCCAGATTCAGGGCCGATCTGATTTTTCAGGGCGCCAGTCGGACTGCTGAGGATGGCGATCGTGAGAGGAGAACAGGAGACGAGCGGGACGAACGGATTGGAGGAGCACCGAGGGGGTCTGCACCAAGGGGCCTCCCTTCAGGTCCCACCCCAGGAGCCCCAAACAGGGTCAGAAATGGACCAGAGCAAGCCATCTCTAACCCAGCATCGCGAGTCCAGCAGTCTGGTGAGTCCTCGGTGGAATTCTCTTTTACCATAACTGATGACAGAATAATACTTTAGGGCTTAAAATGGTTTCCTTGAATATCAGATTTGTTCTTTGTTTCAGGTAACACATCACCTCGTGCAATTTCTCGTGCAGAGCGGGAAAGGAAGGTGAGCATGCGTTTACACCGTGGGGCTCCCGCCAACGTGTCCTCCTCGGATCTCACAGCCCGTCAGGATCAGTCGAGGATCTCCACGTCACAAGTGAGTAAACGGCACTAGTGGCAGCCTGCAGCAGATCGACAAGAAATAACTTTAATAGTAACTTATCAGTCAGGATTTTAGAGTTGAAGTCATCACCCAGACCCTTAATGCCATTTAAAAAATGTTTTTGTTCCAAGCTTATCAGCGAGGCACAGATTCTGTTTTTGAGGGGCCAATGTCAGTTTCTGATTCATATGTTTATGTATTTAGCAGACGCTTTTGTCCAAAGCGACATACAAGTGATAATCGGCATGTTGCCCTTGAGGCTAACAACAACAACAATAACAACAACTTGACATCAATCATGGAGAGTAGGGAACAAGGAGTGGACAGTAGAGAGGGGGGACGGGTGCAGGGAAGGCGCTAGTTAAGAAGATGCTCTCTGAAGAGCAGGGTCTTCCAGAGTTTCTTGAAAATTGAAAATGAAGCCCCTGTTCTGGTAGTGCTTGGAAGGTCATTCCACATTTGTGGAACGATGCATGAGAAGATTCTGGATTGTCCTGAGCGTGGTGTAGGCACTGCTAGCCGACGATCCTGTGATGACCGGAGCGGCCGGGCCGAGACGTAAGCCATTGCAAGAGGATTCAGGTAGATGGGAGCCGTACCATCTCGGACTTTGTATGCTAGTGTTAGCAATTTGAATTTGATGCGTGCTGCTAGCGGTAGCCAGTGGAGCTCAATGAACAGAGGGGTGACGTGTGCTCTTTTTGGCTGATTGAAGACCAGACGCGCCGCTGCGTTCTGGACCATTTGAAGAGGTCTCACAGTCCAGGCTGGAAGACCAGTTAGAAGGGCATTGCAGTAATCGAGGCGGGAGATGACAGTAGACTGCACCAGGAGCTGGGTGGCATGTTGTGTTAGGTATGGTCTGATCTTTCGTATGTTATACAGCGTAAAGCGGCATGAACGAGCAACAGAGGCAACATGATCTTTAAAGGTCAGGTGTTCATCAATCACAGCACCCAGATTTCAGACTGCCTTTGAAGGAGCCAGAGATAGGAAGTCATTCTGGATTGAGATATTGTGCTGTATGGATGGTTTTGCTGGGATGACGAGTAGTTCAGTTTTAGAGGGACTGAGTTGGAGATGGTGGGATTTCATCCATTTTGATATGTCCAGGGTGTCCGCGGGGTTTTAAAAAGTATTAAAAAGTGATAAATAAAAATAGTCAAATTTAAGGCCATTAAAAGCGTTAAATTTGGTCTCAGAGGTATTATTTTTTCCAAATTAGGTATTATTTTTTTCAGACTATCAGGTGTCGTATTATGAACATCAACATAGAAATATATTCCGAATGAAATGTTTTGAACGATTATAAAAACAAAACAAGCCGATTATTTGCTCCTCCCGCTTGCGCTGCCCTGAGTTGCAAATGAAGCGCTCCTCCCACAGTGTTGCCAACTTAGCGACTTTGACGCTATTTCCAACAGCTTTTCAGACCCCCTTCTTGACTTTTTAAATCTTAAAAGTACCTAGCGAACACCTCAGAAACATCTCTGGTAACCCTTAGCTACTTTCTGGATAACTGTAGTTGACATTTCCTGCAGGTTAGCTAAACACTCCGTCTGCGCTCCCGACCGTTCTTCTGGACATTAGGAAAGGGAATGATGCAGTGATGTGTCGGTCGCTAAATAAACGGCTCTCAGAGCCGGCTCTCTGTTGGATTAACCAGAGTGAATGACACACACACCGTACCTGCGGGCTCCTGAGCCGCTAAAAACGGCTAAATGTGCGCGTGCTGCGTGCTAAACACACGTGCAGCTTGCCCCTGATTGCTGTGAGACCGGGTTGGGGGTGGGGGTGCAGCTGTGGTTGAGACAATTATTACATTAACTGATGGACTTGTAAATAAATAGTTTATAAATAAGGTAGAAATAAGTTCCTCACGCTGATAACTAATCTCTCTGAGGACACGGTGCTAGTGCACTCTCCTACTGCACCTTGACACGACTAAATAAATGTTATGCAACATTTTGTGAACATCAATTTATTTGCATGTATTTGTTATAAATGCCACTGTATAATTCTTGTTGTCAGTATTTGCAAGATATTGGTATTTGGGTCTGTACTGGTTAGACTTAAATGAGTTAAACCAAGGTCTAAAGCCCTTGGGTCATAAACTATGAGCTATAAGTATATTGGTCTTTTTATACTGGGAATCAGGAGTTATTTTAGTGATCATCTTGTTTCTTGTTTATTTTTGCCCTGATTGTGCCCTGAGTAGGGCTGGGGGTAAACAAGTATTTTTAAAATGATTATTCTGACGATTATTTTATCGAATAGTCGACTATTCTAATGACTATTTAGATGATTAATCTAGCGAATATTTTTCTATTGCACAATTAATAAAAACCAAAAAATCTCAAATAAATTCTTCCCAAAAATGGATAAATTGTTACTGTAAGAGAATAAATACTACAGGCCTTCCATTTTGTATAACACTGCTTTTATTGTGTTGTGGTTGGTTTTGTTCTGGTGACGTGTAGAACTTGGGAGTGCAGGCTGCTGCCTGAGAGGTGGTTGGAGACGGAGTGTCTCCATGCTGCTTTGATTTGGTCACTTATGTGCATGAGGCAAGTGGTGTTACGATCCTTCCTGGGGAGTTTGGCTTGTGTGCAAAAAGGAAGGGACAATAACGGGATTTAAAAGTTAAAATGATGATCAGGTTTTTTTACAACTACAAAAAAACATAAATATTTCCATCCACAGGTTGGGAATAATAAAACTAATTCTGTCTGTGGGGAATTAAAACAAAAGTACAAATAACCTGGGATGTCCCACTGGGCAACGATTACAGGGTTCTGGACCAAAATAAGGATCTCCAAAGGTCCAAACTCTAAACCAAACTCGAGGTGATATTTTACACTAAACCGAAAACCCACAACACTCTAAATGTAATAAAAGGGAGATCTGCACCACAAAAAAGATGAACTCTAAACCAAAATGTAACCGCTTATCCAAACGCAAGAAGCTGTTAGCGAAAATGCTAACAGTAGCTTTACCAACGTTAAGTTCAAGTTACCAAGTTTAAATAAACCAAAAATACCCAGCAGCAAACAGACCAGCATGGAGGAGAGACTGCTACCACCAAAACAGCTCTCCTCATGTCTGAAAGAAGCTCCTTTATGAAGGGAGAAACGCTCCCGGTGATGTTCTACATCTGCGGTAGAGACAAAGTAGCACATCTGACCCCGGAAGTTGTTGTCCGTTGCCGGGAGACGAAGGCGGGCAAAACAGGAAAATAATCTAGTAGTGGACGGACATCGTTCCGGGTCTTCGGTATTTGGCGGAGATGTTAGTGAAGGCGGAGAAGAGGGCGAACTAGAGGAAAAACAGGCAGATTCCTCCTCCATTTACAAACTCCTGGGGATGCAACAAGTGGGCGCGGTGCGCTGACTAACGGATCTGACGTCGACAAATTTTTAGAATCGAGCCGTCGACGTCATCGATGCGTCGCCACAGCTCTAGCCCTGAGCAATTTTATGACTGAATAAAAAAATAAAATAAAATATCTACATTAATTGAAAAATCATCTTAAATAATCGAGATCTCAATTTCAGTCACAATAATCGTGATTATTGTTTTTACCTTAATCGAGCAGCCCTACTTTAGCATATCCGTCACATAATGATGACGTCATATTCAGTGGTCGTTCTGCATCATTTCAGGCCTCGTGGTCAACTGTCTGAACCGCTGAACAGAAGTGCCTGGCTTATTTTCTAAGTAAAATAAATATGTGCAATACGTTGTCAACATCAGTGAGTCTCTTAAGTCTATTCTTTTTGTATGTTATATATGTTAAAATATGTGTAAATAGGTCGCTGATTAACACTTGCAATTTAGTGTTGTGATGGTTTTAAAAATATTCTGAAGGTAGTAAAAAAAGGTATTAAAAAGTAGTAAATTTTACTTAAGGATTGCTGTATATACCCTGATGTCAGAGAGACCGTTTGATATTCGTGCAGAGTAGGGCTGGGGGTAAACGATTATTTTTAAAACGATTATTCTGACGATTATTTTATCGAATAGTCGACTATTCTAATGACTATTTAGAAAACTAATCTAATGATTATTTTTCTATTGTACAATTAACAAAAACCAGAAAATCTCAAATAAATTCCTCAAAAAAAATTGATAAATTGTTACTGTAAGAGAATAAACACTACAGGCCTTCCATTTTGTATAACACTGCGTTTATTGTGTTGGTTGGTTATGTTCTGGTGACGTGTAGAACTTGGGAGTGCAGGCTGCTGCCTGAGAGGTGGTAGAAGATGGAGTGTCTCCACGCTGCTTTGTTTTGGTCACTTATGTGCGTGAGGCGAGTGGTCTTACGGGTTAAACCAAACTCAGGTGATATTTTACACTAAACCGAAAACCCACAACACTCTAAATGTAATAAAAGGGAGATCTACACCACAAAAAAGATGAACTCTAAACCAAAACGTAACAGCTTATCCCAACGCAAGAAGCTGTTAGCGAAGATGCTAACAGTAGCTTTACCAACGTTAAGTTCAAGTTACCAAGTTTAAATAAACCAAAACACCCAGCAGCAAACAGACCAGCACGGAGGAGAGACTGCTACCACAAAAACAGCTCTCCTCATGTCTGAAAGAAGCTCCTTTATTAAGGGAGAAGCGCTCCCGGTGATTTTCTACATCTGCGGTAGAGACGGAGCAACACATCTGACCCCGGAAGTTGTTGTCCGTTGTCGGGAGACGAAGGGGCAAAACAGGAAAATAATCTAGTAGTGGACGGACGTTGTTCCGGGTCTTCGGTATTTGGCGGCGATGTTAGTGAAGGCGGAGAAGAGGGCGAACTAGAGGAAGAACAGGCAGATTCCTCTTCTATTTACAAACTCCTGGGGATGCAACAAGTGGGTGCGGTGCGTCGACTTCCGGATCTGACGTCGACAAATTTTTAGAATCGAGCCGTCGACTTCGTCGAGGCTTCGCTACAGCCCTAGTGCAGAGACAGTGTGGTCGTCCGGTGGAAATGAGATAGACCTGGGCGTCGTCTGCATAGCATATAGTTGTTTATTTTTGTCAGCTCTGACCTGACGATACCAATTTCAGCTGATTTATCTTTATAATTAACAAACTTTTTTTTAATGAAAATAATTAGAAAATTTTGAATCTGACAGTAAATAAAATTCATCTGTAACAGGAATAGATGCTTAGCGGTGGTGAGTTCATGGACTGAGAAATGTCAGTCTTTTTGGCGCATCTCTAAAATTCATTGATTTGTTTTAACATTTTCATTTACTTGAATTTTAACAGCAATGAACACAGATTATCTAGCACATCTCTGAGAACGTTGCTCAATGGTTATTACAGCAACTTTATGCAGAAGATCGAAGTAATGGGCTCGACACACGGGAGGCGACATCGCCTCCCCATTCATTTTCAGTGAGACATGCGTGACAAAGCGATAATCGCGGGTCTCCCTCCTACTAAGCAAAACGCGAAAAATATGCGTGTGAAATTTTGCGCTCGTGCACGTGTCGTGCACAGGCGACCCAGCGACATGATCCCAGAAAGTTGAAACATTTTCAACTTTTCATCGCTGTCGCTCGGACGAGGACCAATCAACGGAGGTTTCATTCACTGACCAATAGGGTTGTCACGATACTAAAATTTCAAACTCGATTCGATACTTGAAAAAAAACTCGAAACTCGATTTCGATACTATTTAAAAACACCCATTTATCGAACAAGTTTATTCAAAAAATAACATTCCTCAATTTATGTTACAAAAATTAAATGTTAAGAATTAAGTGTGTAAAGTGCTTAAACCTTTCAAGTATCAGCATTTTTTAAAACGTGCATACAAAAACTGGTGAAAGTTAACACTTTAAATCATGAATTGTCTCACTATATATACACTATTTGCAGAGTGATGTTTTGCTGCTTAAACTCTGTTTAAGGTGCATTTTTGTCATAAGATGTAACGCCATATGTTTTGTTCTGTACTTTTGAACAACTCTGTTGGTCAATAAAGGGAGAAAACGAATTTCTCCACAGTAGGACAAAGGTACATCTACCGGTAATCTTAATAAAAACAGATTGGCGCACGGCAGTGACGTCATTAAAAGCGCCGGTTAGATTAGCCGCAGCTAGTCTGTTCACGCCTAGAAATCCCAGACCCGCTCCAAACGAACAGGGGAATCATGTTAATGATTCCTAACAAATCCTTTCGACATGGAGATGTTTTGGTGCAGATAATGTCTTATTTCGAGGCTGCACCATGGGTGCCCGTCCGCACCCGTTATATGGATATATACGCAGACGGTGATTCGCCGATGGATCTAAATACCCCGGGGAATCCAAGTAGCACCAAAGTTGTCAGCGTGAGTAAACAAACGTACTGCATGCTAGAAATTAAGTCCGGGTTGCAATAAACGGGAGTTTCCTTTAAGCACATAAGCGTGAATATACAACTACGTGTCGGACTTGGTATGCTAATTAAGTTGGGCTGTGAAGCGCCTCCCAAATTCGCTGTTTATGTTTTTGTTTATTTATTTGGCAGACAAAACTTGGATCGGAGACAACTCGCGTGGGAAATTGCTATGTAGCCATGCGGCGTCTTCTTCTGTTTGTCTGGGAGGCGGAGGCTGCTTTACGGCATCTGGCTGTCGTGCATGTCGGTGTACTTGAAGAAGGCTGTGTATAATAGTCCATAATATCGATACCACAGGGATGGAATATCTAATTTAGATACCACTTTTAGTATTGATTTATATCTGGGTATCGATTTTTTTGACAACACTACTGACCAATGAGCGGACTGGATGCTCCGTACATCTCCGAGGAGAAGTTGATGCATGCTGTGACAGATTTCCCAGAACTGTACAATATTTCTACCAAAGAATATAGATATTCACAAAAAGGTCGTGGCATGGGTCCCTCATTAAATGATGGTATTCTCCATTTCTTTGTCTGGTTTGTAATATGGGATGAACCCATTCTCTTTTATTTTTTTATATAGTAAAATCAGAAGTAAGATTTCACATAACTCTAGCAGCACCTTGTGTTGTCGTTGTCTTCCTCCGCTTATCCGGGTCCGGGTCGCGGGGGCAGCATCCCAGCTAGGGAGCTCCAGACCGTCCTCTCCCCGGCCACCTCCACCAGCTCCTCCGGCAGGACCCCAAGGCGTTCCCGGACCAGACTGGAGATATAACCTCTCCAACGTGTCCTGGGTCGACCCGGGGGCCTCCTGCCGGCAGGACATGCCCGAAACACCTCCCCAGGGAGGCGTCCAGGAGGCTTCCTGACCAGATGCCCAAACCCCCTCAACTGACTCCTTTTGATCCGGAGGAGCAGCGGTTCTACTCCGAGCCCCTCCCGAATGTCCGAGCTCCTCACCCTATCTCTAAGGCTGAGCCCGGCCACCCTATGGAGGAAACTCATTTGGGCCGCTTGTATCCGCGATCTCGTTCTTTCGGTCATTACCCAAAGCTCATGACCATAGGTGAGGATTGGGACGTAGATCGACCGGTAAATCGAGAGTCTGGATCGGCTCAACGTCAGCATCACTGCAGACGCTGAACCAATCCGCCTGTCGATCTCCCGATCCCTCCTACCCTCACTTGTGATCAAGACCCCGAGATACGTAAACTTCTCCACTTGAGGTAGGACCTCTCTCCCAACCCGGAGTTGGCAGGCCACCCTTTCCCGGTCGAGGTCCCAGCACCTTGTGAAACATATCTACCGCTTTTTTTAAAACTCTGAACCGCTTAAATAACCTTAATTCCCTCCAACCTGACACAGCCAATCAAAACAACGGAAGATTCAATTTCGCCATGGAACAGAGCGCGTCGACGGCCTAGCCGCTGGCCGCGGGTTGCCTCCCGTGTGTCAGGTAATAAAAGCGACAGTGACGAATTTCACTGATCGCGGTCGTTTGCCGCCTCCCGTGTATCGAGCCATTTATGCAGAAAAAAACCTGTTTTAACTACAAACCTAATGAAAGTGCAGCTGTCACAGACGTGTCCTTTACATCTACAAACACCGACATGGACGTCTCGTTTTGAGGGTGGGAGAAACATTCAGATTGTTTGGGATTTGAGTGATGCTCCATTAACTGCAGTTGGTGCTACTTAGTAATTCTTCATCATTTTTGTGTTTACAGGTCAGCGTACCATTCGAGCACGTGGGGAAGTGAGCCTCCTCAGCTCTGCATGAACACAAAACAGGTGAGGCGAAGCGTCACCTTTTTATTCTCCAACGTTTGACACCAAATCTGACGATCTGTTTGTTGTTGCAGGGCTTGAAGGAAAACTTTGTGCTATACTCGTTTTTTTTTCCTTTCTACTTTGGTTAATGAAAACCTTCTTGTTAATGGACCGAACATTTTTGAACAAGACATTAAACCTTTTCGAGGATTTTGGAGAATACACGAAAATATCAGCGTTCATTCTTACCCGGGCCGTCTGTTGTGAGCCACCACAGTACACAAAGCCAGCGGCAGTGCTGCACCCTGACCGTAACGTTTTCCTCACAACATTCCCTCAGTACTTCTGCAAATGTGAAGGACTTAAGGCATAAAAGGAGTAAAAAAAAAAAGGATTCAGGGTCATGCATGTTTTTATTATCAAAGGTTTCATGTCGTCTGTTTTTATTTTCCATGAAAACGCGTTGAATTGGAGTTTTATTTTATTTGTTTTTAAAAATACCAGCTTGGTAGATGCAAGAACCTGTAGATGAAGTTGAGCCATGTTGATGAAAGACTGGCTGCTAGGAGGACATTTTTATAAAGGATAAGTGATGTTTTAGACGATGTAAAGTAGCTGGTTCTTACTTGCCCTCACCTATTTTGTGACAACTTTCTGACAAAATGTAGCCATGGAACTTGTCTGAGCGTCTTACTTTGCCTGATTTGAGTTCACTTTTTTTCTTTTAACTTGAATATTTTGATGGGAAGGTAAAATATGACTGTGGATGCTCAGTGGACACACTCCCAAACCTTGAGAGAAGCTCCTCGGGAAATTCTCATCATCCTGATGTTTGACCCGAGACCACAGCTGCCCGTTTTGGCCAACAAATAAATGCAATTTTTAAGGTGTTTCTTATTCCTTTATAAATTCTTTTTTAAAGGAAAAATGGGCAGGATCTGTTGGGAATGCCATTTGGGAGGTTTTTATTCAATTTTTTTTTTGTTTACTCCAATGTAAATATTTTTTTATTATTTCAATGTAAAGCCAAATGTGGTTATTTGTTGTAAAAGTGTAAAGTAGACAAATGCATACTAATGACGAAGTAGGGTTTGGACTCAAATAATAAAACTTTGGGACAAGTTGCAGTACCAGCTGGGTCATTACACAGGTGTGGGTGTCAGTTTCTGTATGCATATTAATTTTTGCATTTTATTTATACTTTTAGTTCCTCACCGTTTTGGTATGTTTAAGGTGACATGTTTGTTTAACCGCTTTGCCACTTTTAAATATTCATAATTCCTTCAACTGAAATGAAAATCCAATGGTTTGATATCACCTTTTTTTATTTTTGCCTTTCAACAACTTTCATGATTTAATTTAGAAGAAAACCTAAGCAATGCAATTGCAGGTATCTGTGCGTGGACGTGTGCACATTCAAGTGGAAGGTGTGTAACCTTTGTACAGGCCATCATGACCCAGTGGCATTGTGACTGGATTTGAAGGGGGAGGGGGGTTCACTTTGTGTATTGTGTACGGATATCCTTTACAGTTTAACACTATTTACAGTATTTGTGTATATTTTATGAGGTAATAAAAATGAATAATGTTGCAGACACGTTTTACTAAGTCTGTGCTGATTATTTGGAGTCGTGTTTGTTCAGTAGAAATCAGATGTGTATCTAAATTTTAACCCGGGACATAAAATACTTTAACAAACTAAAACAATTTTTGTTCCAAATAAGTTATTTCGATACCAAAACGTGCTAATAAATCACGCACTTCTTGTTTAGGCATGACAGCGATTACGCATGCGCAGCTCACTTCTGAAATTTAAGAAACTGACTGAGGTCTTTGTGCGCATGCGCTTGACAGTTTAGAGCTGCTGTTGCCACACTACTGATGTGGAGATTGTAACGACGTGACGTTACCCATCCGCTTTTGACTGGAAATGGCTCATATGGGCGTTTATAACGTAATAACGACCCCGTGACTTCAAAGGACATTATCTTCATAATCTTAATTGGTGGCGCGTGCGAGAGGAGCTGAGCTTGCTAGCAGCAGCCCCTTTTTTTTATTACAAACCGGCGAAAAGCTTCCGGGACTCAGATGAAAACGCATTGATTTCATACGTAAACGGTTGTGCTCTGGATGTCGGCGTTTAGCTCGGTAACTTTATGCTCCGAAAGGTCTTCCGGTCAGCTTGAAATGATCAGCTGAAGCAATAAAATTTATGTTTGGATTCGAAGCTGCGCAGCTGCAGATGAGGTAAGGATGGAGACGCAAACGGCTAACGTTCTTTATTTCTTGTGGTTTTTATGTACGTAACTCACCTACTCTCTCAAAATATATCGACTAATGACCACTTTAAATAAAAACCACCCAAAAAAAAATCATCCGATCGATCGACTTTCCTTTTTAAAAGGCGTTTGTGAAATCTGTTATCTCGTTTTTGTAACTGAAATTACACGAATATGAAAATCACTGCTACAGACTGATCGCAGATACGGTTTTTTTTTCCAAAGCGTGAACACACACACACACACACACACACACACACACACACACACGGCAAAGACTGCTGGTTCGATTGAGGTCAAAGTACCAAACGTGTTTTCGATCCTTCTCTTGAAAACCGTCACCAGGATGGATGAGCTACTCCTGTCTGTGATCTAATCGGAACCAGTCAGCTGCTCTTGTAGCAGAAATCTCAGGATGAGATGCAGATCGACCAAAATTAAATGTTTGTCAAAAATTGTTCTGGTTTTAATCCAGGCATGATCCCAAGTGACAAAACCATCCTGTTTACATTTAAAATGATGTGTTTAGACGCAGCCGTTCATCTGCAGGTGGATCATGATGTTGGTCATAATCACACCTCAGCTGTTTCTACATCTTTACCTAAAACGTTCCTTCTCTGATGGTTCTGTGTTGGTGAGATCGGCTGATGTTGTCCCTGCTGCCGCCTCATCGCCACCTTATTGAGTTTCAGGCGATAGCATGAGTCATCCATGACCAGCTGCTGTGCACAGGCCTATATTTAGCCAAAGGAACAGGATTCATTGTGAAATGGTTTTTATTGTGAATTATTATTATATGATGTGTTTTTGGAATCAGCACAGATGTGCTGTGCAGCACCAGGAGATGGGATTTGTCATGAGGGTGTTGGCACAAGGAGGAAGCTTTTAGGATTTTGTGCTGCTCCGGGGGCGTGAACAATACTTCTCCTGGTGCTGCTGTTGACAAGTCAAGTTTTTATCTTCAGACTTTAGTGAAGTATGATTTCTGGTGTGTAAGGTTACAATCTAAATTTTACAAAAGGATCCCATGTAGAGCACAGAGAACAGGGTGATAAAATGTCTCTCTCCCACCCACCTCATGGTCATTCCCCTCATCCTTCTTCTCATCTCACATCTCCACAGGATCTTTAGCATATTTTAGATCTGTGCTCTGTCCTACTTTATTCAGATTTTTGTTTTTCCTCCAACATCAGCGCTTGTTCGCTGATTTAGGTTGCAGCGGTCTCTTCATGCTTTATTACATGAAACGGAAGGCTCTGCAGCTGATTCCTGTTATATTAATTGCCTGAGTAATGTTATTTAGTCTCACATGAATCCCATTTATTGATGAAGTCTCTGGCTTTTTGCTCACAGATGAATCAGCTTTGGTGGCGAGTCAAGCGCCTCTCGGAGAGGTCAGGGAGCGACTCTTCCAGCGGGTCCCTGGTCACCATGGCCCCACACGGGTCCAACTCCTCCTTGGCACCGGTCGACCCGGTGGTCAGGCCAGAGGAGCCCATATTCCTCATGACATCCACTGCCCAAACGATCTCTGGGTTTTTTGTTTGGACTGCCCTTCTGATCACCTGTCACCAGGTACGATTGTCCATCACCTCTATATCTGACAGTCTTCCTTTGTAACTCCTGTGTCTAACAAGCCTCTTTATGACCTGGAGCTCCGCTGAACCTCGAGGGCACCATGGATCAGTGTTTGCTGATGCTCTTCACACACACAGTTAAAGAAAAACCCTCTGTCCCTCAGACAACAGGTGCTCCAGCTCTGTTACCACCTCATCAACAAGCAGGAGACGAGTGTTTGGTTATGCGTGTGTGTGAGCAGCTGAAGGTCACCTAGCAACAATCCACACAAAGCCTGTCGTCACCCACTTTTGGTTATTTTACCCCAGGTGTGTGTGCGTTTACAGGCCAGGAAAGGCGATAGGTTTGGGCATTGTGTATGTGGCAGAGTGGCCGGATGGAGCCAAGCGAGGTGCTGCTGACAAAAGGCTCGCCCTGTTCCTCCCACCGTCTGCTGCGCTCCATAGGAGTGATAAAAGCTCGGTGTCAGTTTCCTCAAACAACCCCCACATGTTGCTGGAGAAACACACACTTACACACGCACACACACGCACACACACACACACACGCGCACACACACACACACACACACACGCACACACACAGATTCAGGTTTCACAAGGCAGCGTTTAGTTTCAAACTGTTTTTTAAACTATGAAACGTGTCACACCAACACCACATCCTCACACAGCTACACTAAACGTAACTAAATCTTTTTCTGACCATGCTTTGGTCTTCTTACATGTGACAGATGTTTGTCTCAGTCCTGGCATGAAGACCTGTGAGTTGCATCTCAATCCTCTTTGCTCCTTTTGTCACCCATCTTTACTTCCTGTTTACACCGACACACTGTTATCTGTGTGATGTGAAGTGTTTTGGCGTTAGCATCGATTGATTACCTCCCATCTTTGATAAAACATCTGAGTTTGACTCGTCTGTCTCCAGATCTACATGCACCTCCATTACTACAGCTCTCCCAACGAGCAGAGGCACATCGTCAGGATCCTCTTCATAGTCCCCATCTATGCCTTCGACTCCTGGCTCAGCCTCCTCTTCTTCACCAACGAGGAGTACTACGTGTACTTTGACACAGTTCGAGACTGCTACGAAGGTAAGCAGTGGAACACAGAATGATGTTTTCCACAGTTAAACACTCAGAGCCATGATCCCAGTTCGTGTTCAGGCTCCTGTTAGTTATAAGGGAGAGGGGATTGATGTGAAACCCTGGAGGGGAGATGGCCTTTGTGGTGTCTTCATTTACAAAGGTTGCATCTTTGTTTTCACGTCTCCATGGCCCGATGGGTATGGGGGGGGGGACCAGTTTCCTAGCAACTGGAGCCAAATACTTTAAAGAGCAAGTCACCCCCAAATCAAATTTTATTTTCTGATAAACTACATAAATGCGTGTCTAATTGTGCTGCAGACACGTGTCGTCAATAATTTGGCACTTCAGTGCATTTTAGTTAAAATTTAAATATTCTGCCTAAAACTGTCAGTGTTGTGCCGTTGTCAGGTAAAAACTCTGCACTGTATTTGAATTTAAATCTGCCATCGCTATTGGCTAAGAGGTATGCTATGATGTAAACTGGTACATTATGATGTCACAGTGCTGTCGTGAGCCTGTGTGTGTGTGTATTTGTTAGCAGCTCCGCCCTCTCGGTCTGCCAGGCAACAGCATTTGTTCCATTTTTCAAACAGGAAGTGAGAGTGGAGTTAGACTCTGGTAGGGGGTGACTTGCTCTTTAAGTTTGAATTTTCTGCCTAAAACTGGCAGTGTTGTGCCGTTGTCAGGTAAAAACTCTGCACTGCATTTGAATTTAAATCTGTCATCGCTATTGGCTAAAAGGTACCCTAGAACGTTAGCTGGTACCATATGATGTCACAATGTCGTTGTGAGCCTGTGTGTGTGTGTATTTGTTAGTGGCTCCGCCCCCTCGGCCTGCTAGGCAACAGCATTAGTTGCATTTTTCAAACAGGAAGTGGGAGTGGAGTAATACTCTGGTAGCGAGATCGCACTTCTTTAAAATCAGCTCATTTTTACAGCAGAGAAATCCGAGGTTTTTGGTTAAATTGAAGAAAATGGGATTTTATTGAATATTTTCAGTGATTTGCTACAATTATTGTTTTATAAATGTTTAATAGTGGTTGGTTTGTTTATATCGGCTGAAGTTTAACAGGTTTTGGGTTCGAACTGTTAATACTAATGTTTTAAATATCAAACCTTTACCAAAAAGACAAATCTCACATGCTATTTATTTACTTTTTATTTGTTTTATTATTGAGACCCATTTACTTTGTCTAAATGTTGGAGGTTTATTGGACATAATTATTGAAAGAATATATTTCTGTGTTTTAGACCTAATTTGCAGCAAATGCTAAGCAATGTTGATGAGACTGAGCTGCTTAAAGGGATAATTTGACCATTTTTAATTGTGTTTTTGAGTTAAAGTGATTAATAATTACAATCTTACCTGTTTAAGATAGCTTCAATGTCTCTGGAGAACCACATCCTGCAGGACTGATAAGCTAATGGCTAGTCTAAGTGCAGCCAATGCCAGTGTGTCACTGTCGTCCTAAAACATCTCCAGTCTCCAAAGTTTGTCAGCCATTAATGTAATGTTACACTTTCATCAGTTTTTGGGTTATATATACCGAGCTCAGTCGTGGACGGAATCTAAGAATGTCTGTCAAAATGTCTCTGCACCATGCTGACAGCACCAGGACCTATCGAAACAACAAGGTGACATATTCATACTAACAGAAATCAGTCATGCACTGCAGAAGACGAAAAAGAGACATTTCACACAAGCACCATTCCTGAACCGCTGCCATCTTTGTAGTTTTGCGTCTTTGCAACTCTACCGTCTTCACAAATTTGTTTTTGCCATTATGGTGCTTTTTTTAAAATACATTTATTTTTATTTTTTGTTCTTGTGAAGCTCCTTGTGGTTTTTTTTTTAAATTGCCTTTTAGACACATTAAAAGACATGTACAAGCCAGAACAAATTTTTGTAAAACATTTCTGAACAAATCTCCCTCCCAACTACAGATCCCCCCTAAACTTAAAAAATAAATAAATAAATAAATAAATACTCAATAAATAAATAAAAAAACTTGCCAAGAATGAGACATTGCACAGCGACGATTGCCTATCCTGTCTAAAAAAGCGCTGCCAGTCCTCCACTGTGTTGCGTAATTTTTATATATGGGTCCCATATTTTCCTAAACACCCCACTTTTATTGTTCAGCCTAAAAGCTACTTCCTCATAGCTGGCGATTTTTGTCATGTCGCGCTCCTTGTGGTGTTTATCTTGAGAGGCGCTATGTAAGAAAAGCGCTTCTTTTACTTCTGACGCCGATTTCACTGGAAGCATCAGCAGGGCGAAACGGCAGTGGAACGGTTTACTCGCCAACTTCAAAGCTATCCTTTCCACACCGGGAGAGTCCTGGCAGCAGCACGGCATTCTCGCTGTGCTCTTCGCTGGACTCGCGAGATCGCACGATCCCTCGAGACTTCAGGTCACACGGTTTGTTTATGCAATCCGCCATTAAACCAAAAAGAAGAAAATCACGCTTGATATCGCTGTTTGATGTCATATATGATGTTGTTCTTCTCCACTGCCAGGATTAAAACCATGAAAAACACATTGCTGCACTTCTGAAACGATGCTGTGAGTAAATAAGTCCTTGGGTCACACGTAAGCTTCATATATATGAAATTGCATCGCGGCAATACTTTTATTTTGAAAATTACTGGGGTTTTTACACTGAAACAGTGTGTGATTTCCTGTCTTGCTCTATATTAACTGCGGAAATTGTTGTGTCCCAGAAGCAGCTCGTGGCAAAAATAGAACCTAATCCTATCCTTGGCGGCATGCCGCTTCTGGGAAGTGCCTGAAAATCGCCGCGTCGCTGCTGGTTTGAAACAGTCCGTAGACCATAATGGATTCTGTTTGAAGCAGTGATGTTCTGCTGCCGTTCCGCGCTGCTGATGCGTTCAGTGTGAAACCGGGGTAAGCTCGCCCAACTTCACTCTACAAAAAAAAGAGCGCTGTGATTGGCCCAGCCTACACCTAGCTGAATTTAGACCTGCTGAGGCTAGGCTAGACCAACCCGCAGAGCAAAAAATGACTCACGTGAACCACATTTAGAAGGTTGGAGTTGTTTTAAAACGCCAACAACACATTTTCATCTGAGCTGAGCTCAAGCTAGTTGTTAGCTCATTAACTCATTCGTTGCCAGCTGTTTCGTCGTTGTTGTCTTACTCCACTTATCCGGGTCGCGGGGGCAGCATCCCAACTAGGGAGCTCCAGACCGTACTCTCCCCGGCCACCTCCACCAGCTCCTCCGGCAGGACCCCAAGGCGTTCCCGGACCAGATTGGAGATGTAACCTCTCCAACGCGTCCTGGGTCGACCCGGGGGCCTCCTGCCGGCAAGACATGCCCGAAACACCTCCCCGGGGAGGCGTCCAGGAGGCATCCTGACCAGATGCCCAAACCACCTCAACTGACTCCTTTCGATTCGGAGGAGCAGCGGTTCTACTCCGAGTCCCTCCCGAATGTCCGAGCTTCTCACCCTATCTCTAAGGCTGAGCCCGGCCACCCTACGGAGGAAACTCATTTTGGCCGCTTGTATCCGCGATCTCGTTCTTTCGGTCATTACCCAAAGCTCATGACCATAGGTGAGGATTGGGACGTAGATCGACCGGTAAATCGAGAGCCTGGCTTTCTGGCTCAGCTCCCTCTTCACCACGACAGATCGGCTCAGCGTCCGCATCACTGCAGACGCCGAACCAATCCGCCTGTCGATCTCCCGATCCCTCCTACCCTCACTTTTGATCAAGACCCCGAGATACTTAAACTCCTCCACTTGAGGTAGGACCTCTCCCCCGACCCGGAGGTGGCAAGCCACCCTTTTCCTGTCGAGAACATGGTCTCAGATTTGGAGGTGCTGATCCTCATCCCAGCCGCTTCACACTCGGTCGCGGACCTACCCAGCAAGAGCTGAAGGTCAGCTAGGAGGACCACATCATCTGCAAACAGCAGAGACGAGATTCTCCTGCCAACATACTCGACACACTCCACACCACGGCTGCACTTAGAAATTCTGTCCATAAAGGTAATGAACAGAACCGGTGACAAAGGGCAGCCCTGGCGGAGTCCAACCCTCACCGGGAACAGGTCCGACTTACTACCGGCTATGCGGACCAAACTCACGCTCCTCTGGTAAAGGGACTGAGTGGCCCTTAACAGAAAGCCACCCACCTCATCCAGCCAGCTGTTTCCTGATCGCTAAAGCCCTTCGCTGCCAGCGTTTCTCACCATTTTTACTGTTTTTTTTAAGTCACAGAACGTTGTGCACTAGGATGATGTCGACGCCAAAACAAAGCGTAGACTCACCTCTTACATCAGGAAGAATCTGCGTGTGAATCTGCGGCCCAAAACGATCTCCTAACACATGGATTTTCTGCTTCCTGATCATGTGACGTGTGACGTATGCAGATGAAGATTGGCTTTAGAGCTGGGATGTTTGTTGTCATGGTGCGGGGGCTCGTTCCGACGCCCACACAGTAAAAGAAAAATTCAAATGACGACTTTAATCGTCATTGGCAGTGAACGAGTTAATACTGAAGGATGTGGACTTTTATTTCTCCCAACAGAGGCTGTTCAGAAAGGTATTCCCCGATGAGATCGTAATTATTTATTAGGAACACGCTCGAGCTTAGTGTCATAGATGAAAACATTACAACACTGCTGGGCTTTAATCGAATTTTGTCTAGTAAACAAAGACGTTATAGAGTTCAAAGCATAAGTAACTGGAGCCAATTCACCTAAAAGAAGGAACATATTTTAATAAGACTAAATTATAAATATCAGTTCTGGAATTGTGGGTTTGTAGAAGCTGACCCGGGATCTGCTTTAGTAAAGCAGCCATATTGATCTGAACAACAACAAAGTCTGTGTTTGGTTGAGTGGAGCTGCAGATCCAAAGCAGATCCCGAAACCTCCATAAAACACTCCATAAAACATTGGCTACAGCTGCAGGAATGGGACTCTCGTCTCCTCCCTTCACGTTGCTGCTCAGCTGTGAAAGCAGGAAAGCCTGAAAACATTTGAGATCTTTGCTGTTTGTCAGATAATTGAGCTGGAGGCTTTGTTTCCTGTTGTCATCATTACTAAAATCATCATTCTTTGGTGTTCAGCCCCAAAATGTTGCCTTCAAACTCATCGCTATTTCTTGCTTGGCCTTTTAAACGACACGAGCACATTTCAGTACGGGGGAAAATACGGCATGTGTGATTATGCAACGCTAACAAAGCAGGCTCTGTGCTGCTGACTGTTCTGGTGAGTGTGTTCAGCACGATAGAAACTTCAGCTCAGCGTTTTTTCTCCAATAAAAAAGGAAAACAGAGAGTTCAGCTGGTTTCTGTGGGTTGTTCTTGACTCAACCTGCAAACACCTGGAGCAGCTGGAGGAAACTCCGTAGTAACCGGATGGTGGAGTCCTGCCAGGATTAGACGCTTCTGTCGTGTTTGGTTTTTATTTATTCATCTCAATGAGGATCTTTCTGTTTGAGACAGTTTTCTGGGGTTTGGTAACACTGAATACGTCCCTCTGCCCATCTAGGGACAAAAACTAGGGTTCCTCTTGTTTTTCTGCATTAATAACATCACATTCATGAGCATGGCACGCCTGTAGGTGGCAGTAGTTCCCCAAATGGTTTGCAGGCAAATATTCCTTGGACGTGGAATAACTAGATGGCGGGCCATAACCGACCTCGGTGTCATCCTTCACCTTTGATCTTTTACATAAAGCAGTAACTGTGAAAACAAGCGAATGCAAACACAGGTCACACATGTGAGGTCAGAGCATTTTACTGCGAGTGGGGATGTCGCAAAATCGTAAAAATCTGGTTAGTTACGTCCACAAGCAAATGCTGACATCGGAGAATTGATAAAAATCCACTCAGGATGGTTTGTGAAGGAACCGTTTTTGGTGCGGTTATCTTCACGTTGGTGTGGCTGACAGGCAAAACCGTGGAAAACATCATATGTCAAATCCATGGCACAAAACAAGCGGAATTAGAAAATAGCGTTTTTAGCACCGTTGTCTTGCATTCATTTTTTCGTTCTTCCAGGGACCCGTGGTCCGGAAGTAGATGGGCGTGACTTAGGCTGCCTATGGGTTGTGACCAGATTATATATCACATAGGGTGGCTTGCCAGGCTAGGATATTTCTGCCAAACTGCTATTGCATCATAGTGCTTCTTCTAATGCTGACCCAATGTTTAATGTTGCTGCCATCGCATTCAAAGTAACCTTATTTATGAAATTTTTTTTTTAAGTTTAAAAACTGGATATGTTCCTACGTTTTTGCAATTGGGGTTTTATTGTGCATCTTTTTATTTTTTGTGAGTATTTCTAAATTATTCTGTAACGTGACACGACTGAGTTCAGGATCGACGATGAGATAAAAACACAATCTGATCTGCAGAATTCAGCCTTTTGTTTATTTATTTTATTTTTGGGGCCCATTTTACAAAAAATAGTTCCAAGGGCCCAAAGTTCCTATCGCCTTCTGCCTTTCTTTGTGCTGCCATGTGGGTCTTTACTGCTTCTATAAATACTCCAAATGAAAAAAACCCGTCCATCTATTTTCTGTCCATGTTTGTTTTCATAAATTATTTGCTTCTATGAGCCTTTTGAGAAAGTCCCTTATTGTGATGTCACAATAAGGAAAATCAGCTGTAAACACTGGAGAAGCAGTGCTCTACTCCAAGCCCCTCCCAGCTCAGTGGCCTAGTGGTAGAGTGTCCGCCCTGAGACTGGGAGATCAGGATTCAATTCCTGGTCGGGTCATACCAAAGACTTAGAAAAAAATGGGACCCAATGCCTGCCTGCTTGACACTCAGCATTAAGGGGTTGGACGGGGGGGTTAAACCACCAAATGGTTCCTGAGCGCGGCCGTGTCTGCAGCTCACCGTTCCCCCAGGGGATGGGTCAGATGCGGAGAACAAATTTCGCGCACACACAGTGTGTGTGACAACTGATGGGACTTTAACTTTAACTTTAGATATCTGTGCTTCTCACTTCAGAGAAGCCAATTTGAGAATGGGTGGGCGTGGCCAGCAGCACCTTGTTTTCTTAAAGTGACAGAACCCTGAAACGACTCATTCTGTAAGGTACTGAAAATGTGAAGAATAAAACAGCTGAAATGGCTTCATGTGAGACGGATTTAGAGCAAAAACTTCATAAACATGTTTTGTATCGACCGCAGAATTGTTATAACTTGTTTAAAAAACGTTTAATATGTCCCCTTTGACGTGTCAGCAGCTGGCAGACATGATTAGCGTTGGAATTATATTAAAAACCGATATTGTAAGATCATGTTTAGATGTGGCTAAAAGCATGATTCTAACATCAGATTGTTTTCATACAAAAGAACAAACAGGAACACAACACAGCATCTAAACAAGCCCCCACGTGTGGCGTCATAATCCTGCCTTCTTTTGCGTGGCACTGCTCCACCAACACAAACCGTTTCCAGAGTTTGCGACGCGCCCAAAGGTTTGCTGTCTTCATGTCAAGTATCTGTGCAGAGCTTTATAATTACGATCTCACAACCATCACCCAGTCATCTGTGAGCTGAACGATGGGGATGACTCACCTTCTCAGATGGAATCTGCTGACCTCAACAGTTCTGAATCCAAATCAGCAAAACTGAGCTGCACCGAGCACTGGCACGGTTTCCCAAGGAAAACTTAGTCCTGATGTGTAATTCTCCTAGTTCTCCAACTAGAAACTCCAGTTTCTAACTAAAACACAGGAGGGACCGGTGGTGCCAATGCTCGGCAGCCTCGCCTCTGCCAGTGCGCCCCAGGGCATCTGTGACTACATTGCTCATCACAACCAGGGTGTGAATGTGTGTGTGAATGGATGAGTCACTGTAGTGTAAAGCGCTTTGGAGTCCTCTGACTCAGAGAGATGCTATACAAGTGCGGGTCATTTATTGTGCCCTTTTATGAACTGAATCATCCATTTTGCAGCCTTTGTCATCTACAACTTCCTGAGTCTGTGTTACGAGTATCTGGGAGGAGAGAGCGCCATCATGGCGGAAATCCGAGGGAAAGCCATCGAGTGAGCGCCCTTACATTCTGTTTTTCTGATATAATCGTGCACACGAACAATCTCGTTTTCTAACCCGTTTCTCCTCAGATCGAGCTGCTTGTATGGAACCTGTTGTCTGTGGGGAAAGACCTACTCCATCGGCTTTCTCAGGTTTTGCAAACAGGTACCTGATTGGTCCGTCTGCCTTTTGGCGTACCAAGTTTTGTTTCAGAAGCAAAAATGAATAAAAACCAAAATAAAACCAATTTTCAGATTTTGGTTTTTGATTAAAGAGTAAAATCAGGAAAATATATATATTCTTATTCAGTGGTAACAAATATGAGTCACACACCTAAAATTACTCCTGATTTCATGAGTTATTTGTGATTCAAATAATCAAAGTTCAATTGCTCAAAAACAAATACTTGTTTTCTGAAATCAGAAACACTTTTGCAACATCTATAAAAATATGACTTGCTCTGATTGTTGCCCGTCTGGAAACAAACACAGACGTTCATACTTGTTGAGAACAAGGAGTGTCGAGCATTAAAGAGCAAGTTCACTGAGAAACCGTTTCTTGTTATCTTTTAAATCTGATCAGTCACTTAGGAGTCGGCAGTCACGCAGATGTGCAGGCGTACGACGAAATGCGCATTGCACTTGCTTAACTCATTCACTGCCAGCTGCTATCTGAACACAAAGCCTGACTGCCTGCGTTTTTGAGCATTTTTACGTTTTTTCAAGAGTCACAGAATATTGCGTTCTATCCACGTAAACACCAACACTACCAAAAGAAAGAGTAGGCTCATTTCTTACATCAGAAAAAAATCAGCTTGCTTCTAGCTTTTTCCATCCTTCCACAATCCGTTGTCGAAGTGTAAGCTGCAGGGAGCTCGTTCCCAAGCCCGCCCCGCAGTCGTCAGTGGCAGTGAACAGGGGCGTGTTCAGGGGGTGGCCTGGGGCAGCACATGCCACCCCATTTTAAAAGATTTGGCCACGCCACTGGCAGTGAATGAGTTAAAGACAGCTCCTGTTATGAGGTGGTAAGGTATAACATCTAACACGTAAGCTGAATGTGAAAATAGTCTTCTACCCCTATTTCCTGCGTTAGCCGCTGTTAGAAACAGACGGGGAAACGCTCGGATCAGAAAAGCCACACGGATCTATGTCACTCTGTAAAGTAGCGTTCATGGACTCACCCATCTCGGCTCGCGACAGGGAAGGCTGTTGTTGATTTAGCATCCAGCAGAGAGCAGAACTCCGCTAAAGTCTCGGCTAGTAGAAGCTAACAGTTAGCATTAGCAGCTCCACAATATGGTTGAGCTCCTTCAGGCTTGTGTTATCCAACATCTCTGCTCCTGCTGAACTCATCTCCTCCGTTCCCAGGCCACCCTCCAGTTCTGTGTGGTCAAACCTCTGATGGCGATGATCACCGTCATTCTTCAGGCCTGTGGGAAGTACAGAGACGGAGACTTTAAGTACGTTTCACCAGCAGCTTATCCTGCTCTTCCTGACAGCTTCACATTTTATTTGTGTCATTTTTCTCTCCTCCAGCGTGGCTAGCGGCTACCTGTATGTCACCATCATCTACAACATCTCTGTCAGCTTGTCGCTCTACGCTCTCTTCCTCTTCTACTTTGCTACACGAGAGCTGCTCGTCCCGTACAACCCTGTACTCAAGTTCTTCATGGTCAAGTCGGTCATCTTTCTTTCCTTCTGGCAGGGTAAGGACGTCGTATTCTGGGGAAACCCCTTTCCACTCCTTCGTGTTTACTTTAGCCTTCCTCACACTCCTCATGTCTCCCAGGGATGCTGCTGGCCATCCTGGAGAAATGTGGAGCGATTCCTCAGATAAAGTCGGCCGACTTCTCCGTGGGCGAGGGAACGGTTGCTGCTGGCTACCAAAACTTCATCATTTGCATAGAGATGTTCTTTGCTGCTGTGGCTTTGCGTCACGCCTTCACTTATAAGGTCTACATGGACAAAAGACTGGACTCGTATGGTAAGAGACATCCGTGGGACAGTCTGGGTGTTGTGAAATGGAAAAACATAAAGTAAAAATGAGCAGATGTTGACTAAGCTGCGAGTTTTCTGTGATCCACGTTTCCTGGTTCTTCAGGACAGATCTGACCTCTCCACGGATTCACTTTGATTCCTGACTTGAACTCAGTAACTGACCTTTTTGCTGCTGTGTACCTTCATTTTCTTCCCATCTTTCAGCTGTTTCTTGTCTTTTTCTTGTTTTTCTCTCCTCCTCCTCCTCACGCGGCACTAAAAGGCTCATTTCCTCTCTATGGTCAATACGGTAGGTTGGATGGTTGGCTGTTTGTTACTTTGTGCTTTAGATATTTCATTATTGTCCTGCATCACACGAGCACTTAGTAAAGATTGTGTTTTTGTTTTAAAGTTTGAAGTAATACTGGTATTTGTGTCTTTATTAACTGACATGTCTGTTTCTGTTTGCACCGGTTTAGTTTATTCTGTCGTTATTAGAAGAGGCTAGGTCACAAGCACGCTTTTTAAAGTGTATTTTTGATGTTTTTGCAGCATCATCCATCTTAATAAGTCTGATTTAAAAGGCTTCTAAAGCTTTACCAAAACCAGAAAGGACAAAGGTAGGAAAATATCTAAACCTAAAGGCGAGTCCTTTGGACCAGATTTAAATCCCAATTTGTAGGGAAAAAAAATCATGATTGTGATTCATTTGTGGTCGACATTAAAATTCTAACCATTTCTTCTTGTTTAGTTGACCAACACTATCCAGGTTTCACATTTTAAAGAGACTGTAGGCACCAACTTTCCACCAGCAGATGGCAAAGTGATGATTTAAGACCTAGCTCACTGATCAAACATGTTTTACAATATTGATGTTAATTAAAATAGAGATTATTAATTAAATTAAAATATAAAATCCCAACAGGTAGGCTAGAAAAGTCAATAGTAACCCCTAGTGATCTGTTTTCAGTAGTGCGCCGGCTTCCGCTGGAGCGGTTCGCAGCCAACTGTGAAGCAGCTGAGGCCATGGTCTTGAGTCAGAAAAGGGTAGAATGCCTTCTCCAGGTCAGGGATGAGGTCCTGCCCCAAGTGGAGGAGTTTAAGTATCTCGGGGTCTTGTTCACGAGTGAGGGAAAGCTGGAACGCAAGATCGACAGGCGGATTGGTGCTGCGTCTGCAGTGATGCGGGCGTTGTACCGGTCTGTCGTGGTGAAGAGAGAGCTGAGCCAGAAGACGAAGCTCTCAATTTTCTCTGCAGGGTGGCTGGGCTCTCCCTTAGAAAAAGGGCGAGAAGCTCGGTCATCTGGGAGGGGCTTGGAGTAGATCTGCTGCTCCTCCACAACGAGAGGAGCCAGTTGAGGTGGCTCAGGCATCTAGTTAGGATGCCTCCTGGACGCCTCCCTGGTGAGGTTTCCGGGCACATACACCCGGGAGACCTAAAGAGAGACCCAGGACACGTTATCTCTCGGCTGGCCAGGTAATGCCCTGGGGTTCACCCGGAAGAGCTGGCCCAAGTGGCTGGGGAGAGGGAAGTCTGGGCCTCTCGATTTAGGCTGTTGCCCTCGCGACCTGACTCCGGATAAGTGGGAGAAAATGGATGGATGGATGGAGTGTGCCGGTTGTTGCAACCGTAGTCTGCACAAAAAACGGGCATAGTTACCCGCTCTGCATTGACTCCAGTTGGGTTTGGAGAGTGAGGAACCCACCCAATATGGCGGCGATGCTGTTACACTCTCCAGTGCCCGATGGCACGTCTGCATATTCGCGACGGCCCACGATAGAATTTGCCAGCCAACAGACTAAAGCAGTACTGTCACCTTCTCCCTTTCAGAGTGGGCAGCACAGGTTTTTATCTAGCACCAGGGTAGGAGCCATTCATGAGTAATCCAGACTTCGTTGAGTTGTCAGCAGGCAACATTTTACATGGCCATCCTATAGTAACCATGCCGGTTAAAGCAGAAATCCAAAGTTTTTCCTCAGAGGAAAATGTAGCACACCGTAAGGCTTTATCCCTTCTTCTGTGATAGAAGCAGGAAGCAACACCTCTCATCCTACATGCACACCTCTGCCCGGACAACAGAGCTAAAACACATTGTTTTACTATTATCATCCAACCCCTGAAAGGGGAAACTTCTAGATTGCAGCACTAACAGAAAACAAAACTTATTTTCATTACGCCTCCAGGTCACTGCGCCCCAATGAAGAGCATCTCCAGCAGCCTGAAGGAGACCATGAACCCAGGGGACATGGTCCAGGATGCCATCCATAACTTCTCCCCAGCTTATCAGCAGTACACTCAGCAGTCCACGCTGGAGCGAAGCGGGGGGCCATCTCTGTCCCGCAGCCACAGCAACCTCAGCGCCTGCGGAGACAACGAGAAAACCCTCCTACTGAGCTCGGACGATGAGTTCTGAGTCCAGTCTGCTCCCTAAAGCTCGCGCTACTCCCGAGCCTATAATGAAATCTCCTCAGCCATGTGGGACAGATCAGATCTTCTGCTTAGACTTCTGCATAAAAGGGGGAATTAGTTAGAATATATTTGGATTACAATGAAAGCTCTGATTTCTGTCTGACATTAAATGGTGAGCTGCAGAAAAATCCCGTTCAGGGGATAAAGAAAGTGGATTAGTGCAAATGTCTGTGCCTGCTTACTGCAGCTTAGTAACGCACTTCAGAAGCTACGGCAGGAAAGCCCCCCAAAACGCCGGGGGGGGGGGGGGGGGGGGGGTGCATCTTCATCTGCAACACACAGGTTCTTTAATTTTAGTCGGTTGTTTTGGTTCTACGTTCTGTTTGCTTTTGCCAAAAGAGAGAACCTAATCCTGCTCCCCTTTTTACCGTTTCAGTTAGAATCGCAGGTTCTACACTTTATGCTGTGTGACAGAAGACATGACAGCTGTTGGAAAGTTCTTTACAATGTTCTAGGAAATTCTCTGTATTTTGTCATTATTGTGGGTTTGTTTGGACCGCAGGTGTAACCTTGTGTCCAGCTGACCCTCCAAGTGTTTGTGGCGCATCAAGGGAACAGCTGTATCGCCTTGTTTTTGTTGTGTTTGTTTTGAAAGCGTGGGCAGTGGGACTAACGGGAGGACAAGCAAGCACCCACGCAGATTACAGATTATAGGAGGAGTGACTCTTCCTGCAGAAGCAGCCCAGCTGTGATCTGCTGTAGAGGCTGTAATCTAATTACCAGCGTTGCGTTCAGCACAGACCAGCTCTGCCCCTGCTGGCTCCGATTGTAACAGCCGATGGTTTAAAGATGCGCGGTCCATTGCAGCTGCAGTCAGTTTCCCTTAATTAATATCATTAAATCACAAGTCTGTTGCCGTATTATCTGCTAACTAATGGCATCGTTTGTGTTTCTGCAGCCACTAAATTTAAGACCGAGTGCAATGTTCTGTTCTGTTTTTGTAATTTAACGGGAACCTTATAACCCGAAGTTTAGCCCTCAGGTAACAGCATATCTATCTCACGCATATACTGATTAAAACACTAAGTTTGCATTCGGTTTGAACGTGTGTAAAGCTGCAGGTTTCGTCTGTCGTGTAAATAGAGCTGAACGAAGCACTGTGATATTTATGGTGGTGACTGTAATGGCTTTGCTTGGTTTAGTGCTCTGTTGAAATATGATTATTTTAACTTTATAAACAAAATATTTCCTTTAAGTTGTACACATTTTTATATGTATATTTGTTATATGTTTATGTTGGTGTTGCAAAGGAAATAAACAAAAAAAGTTCACATTTTTTTTACATTCTGCAGTGATACGTATGGCTTCTTCGGGGTACAACAAATAACTTCTTGGTCGCTCCTGTTTACTGAATTTGTTTTTTTTTAAAGGTGTGAAACACTGAAAAAACATTTTTAATTATTATTTCTGATTCTAATGGGTCAGTCTGAGTATTTTATGCAGGCCGAACATTAAAATAGTCTCCTACACCTATCTCCTGTATTAGCTTCTGATAGAAAATAGATGGTGAAACTCTAGGATTACAAAATCCTGACAGATCTACATAACACGGTCACTTAACATTCATCTTGACTCACGACGGGGAAGGCTGTTGGTGGTTTAGCGCCCAGGGAAAAGCAGATAACGTCTCAGTTAGTAGAAGCTAACTGTTAGCATTAGCAACCCCAGCATACAGCTGAACTCCTCCAGACTTGCATTATTTGTGGGGATGAAATATCAACATTGTGAATCAATGGTAGAGTCACGATGCTGTTAGCCAATCCGAGATGTCCAAATCCAGAACCTGCCGTCTGAAGCTCAGCTGTGATGTGTCACTCCTAGCTCATGGAAATGGTGCACCAATGTTCCCCCCCCCCCCCCCAGAATAAAACTTACAAGGCGTTCTTCCTACTAGAGGCCACTGCAGAGTTCCACACCTTAAAACAACTCAGGAGCATTTTGCCTGCAGATGTTGAATTACAAATGCCGGTGCTTCTGCGTCAGCTCACCTAGCCAGCTGGAACTCTGTAGCCTTCCTTCCAACATAACAGTTTTGGGATTATTTCTCTATAAAATTCTTACATACATAAAAGTTGTCTGATGGGAAGATCAGATCAAAAATCGACAGGATTATCCTGCCGTGTAAACCGAGTTTATAGAAACTCTTGCTGTGAGAAAAAAATAAAATACAAATTCAACAGCAGTGAAACATGAAACACCACTTATTTGCTGGTGTTTTAGGACTGTAGCTTAGACCACTGAGTGCGTTTGGAGTTTCATCAATTATTCAAAATTAGGGTGGAAATGTTGCATATTGGATGATTATTAAAGGCTTTATTATTAATATTTATCCTTTAGGACAAGTGCTGATTTTTTTTCTGGGTGGCTTTTAAAAAGATTTTATGGCAATGTGCAAGTTGCTGCTCTTCTCTTGAATACAAATAAAACAATGTTTTATAATAATACATATCAACATCTTCTAAGGAATGGTGTTTAAACTTCACAGAGACCTAAAATAAATGAGACCAAACTAAACATCCGTGATCAGAAAAACATTTTAACTAATCATCCAAAAACAAAAATGGCAGCTCTCCTTAAAAAGGCATTTACACGGTTCACCACAAGCAAAGGAGGCCTGCATAAAAACTTGTTTACAGCAAGAAAAAAAAGTTTATTTTCCACGTGGAGTATTTTATATTCTTCCACACTGCACAGGTCTAATGTACATTACTGTTGTTCCATGGCCGGCATTTACAAAGCAGTTAAACAGGAAATGAACAGAGTGTGTGTGTGTGTGTGTGTGTGTGTGGGGGGGGGGGGGGGGGGGGTTCAGCATGGCTGACATGCATTAGAGAATTTTCTTCGTTTTTGGTTAACAAGTCAAACATGATCCAGACAAACGCTGTGCACAGAACAGCTCGGGTTGCATATATTCAAGTTTCTGATGTTCAGTCTGACCTGATAAATGCTTTCACATCGACCTCAGCTAAAGCCAGATTTGAACCTAAACTGTGTTAAAGGTATGAACACAAACCACCCAACAGATGAGAAAATGAATCCAGCTCAATGAAATAAAACTTAAATAAAAACTGCAAAAGAGGCACACGTGGCAGAAAAATACAACGCACTGATGTTACAGTAGATTTTGTTCATTAGATGAAGAAATAAAATTAAACACTAAAGTCTGCAATCAACAGAAGAAAGCAAACAGATTAAATATGCACGCCTGGGTTTAAAACCAACTTTGTGCTGAGTGAGCGTCGGCTCCCGTTCGCAGCATGCTTCTGGGTGGAGGGCAACACAAAAAGGTTGGAAAATAAGATCAAGCTTAAATAAGCAAATATGCACACTGAAGTTAAAAAAGCTAAAGAAGACAGCAGCTGTGTCTCGATGCAGCCACACGCAGACTAGACGTAGACACACGCGGCTAATTTGGAGCAAAGCATACACACGCCACATTGAGTATAATCCTTAGAAATCAATAACGACCAACAAAAGGTACGACACGATAGCGAAAGGAAAAAGGTGTCGAGTAGAAGAGGCGGAGCGTCAGCGAAGGCGGAAAGAGTCTGTCGGGTTGTGTTCCTCGTCCCGTGCTATAGGTTCCCCCAGTTCTCTGCAGGAGGGAACTGTTCTACGCTGCCACTCTCGCCGTGCTGCTGCTCCCCCGTGCTGAAGGCGAGCCTGTACTGCAGCTGGACTTTCTCCTGAAACACACAGGTGAGCTCATTTTCACACGCTTCAAGTCGGACAGTTTTACCAGAACTTCTCAAACCTAAAGGCACAACATTTGCAAGAAGACTTTTCTACTTAAACATCCCTTAAAATCAGACCCAGGCCTCCAAATTGTTGCAGATCGCATCAAAATCTGACAAAAATACCGATGTTAGTACATGTGTGGCCCGCCGATATATCGGGCCGATTTTTACACTTTTTTTTATTTATCGGCTGACATATTGTCTTTGTAAAGCTGATTTAAAGTCAGACGCATCCCCAAGCAGTCCGGTGCAGAATTTTAGTAAACATTTACTTTTGTGACGGTGGCACAGGAGTTTAGTGCTCGCCCCATAATCAGAAGGCTGCAGGTTCAAGCCCCGCTCAGTTTGTCGCTGTTGTTGTGCCCTTGGGCAAGACACCCCCTTGCCTGCCGGTGGTGGTCAGAGGGACCGGTGGCTCCAGCGCTCGGCAGCCTCACCTCTGTCAGTGCGCCCCAGGGCAGCTGCAGCTACATCATAGCTCATCCCCACCAGGGTGTGTGAATGGGTGAATGGCTGTGTTGTAAAGCGCCTTGGGGGGCTCCAGGACTCTAGAAGGCGCTATATATATGGTGTTGGTGTCAGGTTTCCTGCTCATTGGCCTTGGAGGCTACCCGGCTTACCGGAAAATTAACGAGCTGTCGAGGAATACTGGTGTGATCCTGGAGCTCAGAGAGGGTTTGCACCGCGCTGTGAATTCACACTCACATAATTGTCGAGAAGAATCGTAAGCTTGGGACTTTGGCAGAGATTCATTCTTTGGCACAAAGGATGGATGCCATCAAGGAGAGAGTGGACGAATCAGCAAGGATCGGGATAGTTTAATGTCCATTATTGGGATTCTGAGAGGTTGAGGACCAACAAACTGTAAGACAGAGAGGAAATTATCTGTCTGGCCCCAAAACAATTTCTAATCGGAATCTGGCGCCCTTGAGCCCGCAAGGCTCCAACGAAAACTCCCCCTCAGAAGATATGTGGAATGTGCCGTCGCTATGGCAACTCAACTCTGTCTCCTTTCCCAGCCTGGGCGGGACTGTGGGAAGGCTGCCGAAGCGTCCAGGGTCACTGCAACCCTCCAACCCTCAATGCTCCTCCCCCTATCCACACTGAGGTGACATGCGCTGCTTCATCGTGGCTGCAGGAACTGAAGTGGGGATAGTCCCAACCCACCACCCCACCTAGTGGACACTTATGTTGGGGTGTCTGAAGTCTGTTGCATAGCTGTCTGAGGTGTTTTTTGCAGAGCAAAGCTGCTCTCCTGCTGGAGTGTAATGGGCTCGACACACGGGAGGCGACATCGCCTCTCCTCCATTCATTTTCAATAAGACATGCACGACAAAGCGATAATCGCGGGTCTCCCTCCTACCAAGCGAAACGCGAAAATCGTGCGTGTGAAATTTTGCGCTCGTGCACGTGTCGTGCACAGGCGACCCAGCGACGCGATCCCAGAAAGCTGAAAGAATTTCAACTTTTCATCGCTGTCGCTCGGACGAGGACCAATCAACGGAGGTTTCATTCACTGACCAATGAGCGGACAGGATGCTCCGCACATCTCCGAGCAAACATGAAGGAGAAATTGATTATTATTGTTTTATATAGTAAAATCAGAAGTAAGATTTCACATAACTCTAGTAGCACCTTGTGAAACATCATATCTACCACTTTTTTAACTCTGAACCGCTTAAATAACCTTAATTCCCTCCAACCTGACACAGCCAAACAAAACAACGGAAGTTTCGATTTCGCCATGGAACAGAACGCGTAGGCGGCTTTGCCGCTGGCTGCTGCCGCGGATCGCCTCCCGTGTGTCAGGTTATAAAAGCGACGGCGACAAATTTCGCTGATCGTGGTCGTTTGTCGCCTCCCGTGTGTCGAGCCCCTAACTCCGAAGTGCCTTTTTTTCCCTCCACCTGAACCAATCCTCATGTAACCATCTTATCTCTATTAAGGCAGCGCGACTCAGGGTAGCGAATGACCACAGTCACCAATTCTTGTCATGTGTCTTGCCCATGTATGTCTGCTCTCTGAATTGTGTGTACTGAAACTCTAATTTCCCTCTGGGATTAATAAAATATCTTTGATTGATTAATTGATTGATCAAATACAGGCCATTTACCATTTCCTGAATAACATCTGCATAATAAATACTCACATAATTACTAATCAATTTATGTCTTTAGTGATTTTCAGCAATAAAATAATGTGGAAAACATTATGATAATGGCCATGAAATTCATCAGCTGACCATGATAGGTGCACATCAGCAATAAATAAATAACACATCAGTCGACCTTTACCGTGTACGTTTTGCAAATTTCAAATATAAAAAAAACAAACAAAAATACGCAAATCCTCATCGCACAAACTGCAACTCAGAATAAACACCAAATTTTAAAAAAGCTGTAAAAAAATGAAAATATTAGTGGTGGGACTTTAACACTTTAATTATGATTAATTAATTCACACATTTAATCACACCTTGCATTTGTAGCAAGGCGGAACCTTCGTCACTGATGCGGTATTTGGGAAACACGTCAGCCTCTTCTCTTTACTTGTGGAAAAAATAAACTTCCTGAAAACTACGGAGTCCGCGTCGCAGAGAGTCTCTGATCTCTGCCGCCCGGTGGCACCGGAAATGGTCCAAAAGTCGAGACAAGGTATGTGTAACATTTATAGTGCAGCGCTGAAAGCACCAGACAGAATTACTGTTGCCGTAACAGTAGTTTATGAAAGTACCATACCACTTTATTTGTAGTGCTTTTAACACGGCATTACAACCGACCAAAGCACTGCACATAAAAACAAATAAATAAAAAACAAGCTAAAATAGTCGTGTATATCATATCAAGTAAAACAGATAAGAGTTAAAAGAACAACAAACTAAAACCAACAGAACAAGTGAAACCAGAATATAAAAACACAAATTTAAAATCGAACAAACAAGGTGGAAAAACTAAGGATGAGTTCATGCTTTATGGTTTGGGAGTTGAAGGCCAGGGAGAAGTTGTGGGTTTTCAGGCGTGATTTAAAGGGGCATTATGGAAGTTTGACAGCCAAAACATGTATAGAAATAATAAATGTCTTCTTCATACATTCTCCTGCAATGCCCTGGTCCTGTAGAATGAGCCCTGGTATTTTTACTGTGATTGCCTGTTTTTCTGTAAAATCACAGAAAAAGAGAGATGCTCGGGTCGAGCAGGCTGCTTCATGCGCGTTCACGCTCAGGCATCGCCCGTAGCATTTGCTATCAGTAGCTTTAGCAGCAGAGAGAGAGGCAGTGCCACTTTGTCGCTGTTCCTAACGCCTAGTGACAAAGCTAGCTACATTTCTGAGGACCCTTAGCTACTTTCTGTAGAACTTTCTTCTAGAGATTTCCTGCAAATTAGCAACAAAATAGCCATTTTCACTCCGAACCGTTCTTTGAACGTTGTTTCAGCTGTCATCAAGGATATAAATGTTACAGATACATCAAATGTTACTGGTGCTTTAACTCTCCTAGTAAGACGTCGGACTCTAATGCAGGAGACCCGGGTTTGATTCTGGATGTGAACATTGTTTATTTAGAGTTTATTTTTTACATTAATGGTATATTTTTTTACAGTAAGATGCCCAAATTTTTATTTGAGACTCGCCGAACGGCATTGAATTCACAGATAAAAAAGATGTGGGTTCAACTTTCATTTTGGAACAATTTTTCAAGCAAGGGAAGGGAATGATCTGAGCATGCAGGAGGACTGACCCATCTTAAACCTTTGTCGGCTGTGCTGAAGAGAAAGCTACAGAACCAAATTATTTAATTAATTAGCTGCTCGTTCTCCTGTCCTCTGTCCTCTGAGGAGTTCACACAGGTAGGGAGGTGCCTGACTGTTCAAAGATTTGAATGCGAGAAGCAGAATTTTGAAATTGATCCTGAACTGAACGGGCAAATGTTAGTCAGACAAACGAGAGGCACCTGGCTGCAGCTGAGAAAATGCTCCATGTCCTCACTACTCTAAACTACTACTAAACAATCACAAACAACAGGTCTTAAAGTACCAGAAACACTCTAAAGTCTTTCTGATCATTTTCTAAACAATTCTGTTGGTTTATTTTATGTTTCTGAGACGAGTCGCTGTCTAAACATCGCATGCGTTACCATCATTAAGCAGTGAGGCATGTTGAAGCCGTCATCAGCTGATCGGGAGCTAAAGGGGCGGAGGTTTAAGGGCGTCAGGGGCAGCGAGAAGCGAGAACATTGTGATCAGGTTGATCAGATTCGCTGCTGCAGGCGTGGATCTGCGGCTAGGGCTGTCGCGGTTGAGGAATTCCCCCTGCGGTGATTCAGGGTGGCTTAATATTGCGGTATGCGATATTATTGCAGTCCTTTTTTTTATTGCAGTACTATCTAAACATAATGTTTACACATTTAAAAAAGGTTAAAAATTGCCGTGCCTTCTTTTATAACGCTTTACTGAATGCAGATCAAAGGGCAGTAACAACACAGATCGCAGTAACGTTTGTTTGTCCGACAGTCGGAGTCCGACTGAACTTAAAAACAACAAAATTCAGGAGGTTAAACTTTTAAATGCAAATTTGGCTGCAGCATCTAACAAATAAGAAACAAGTCCCCATTTTGTTTAGTTGTTTAAAATCAAGCATAAAAAATTACATGTACCGGGCGCGCGCGCGCCGGGGGGCTGGCGCACTATCATTTCACTTTCACACACACGAATGACGGTGATTTATAGCTCGGTCACGTCCTTGTTACCCACAAGGAAAACCAGCATGTTAACCATATACGGTTTGAGAGAGCATCTGAGAGGGGTGGCAACATTTCCAGCAACACTGAAAACCCTCTCGGATGGTGCGCTCGTTGCACTTACCCCAAATTCCACTACCTCCGCTCCCCTCCGCTCCGGTCCGGCCCCGCTCGCTTCCGAACTCAACTTGCGTGCGACTCTGGCGAGCAAAGGGAATCTCTCCCGGTTGTTGCTCCACCATGTCAGGGGGGTTCTTTAGGGTGGATGCATTCCTCCTGCAGGTAGCGAGTGAGCTCCAGCTCGGCTCAAACTCTCTTCGGGACGGTTGCAGAAGCAGTGCTTGTCCGGGACTTCAGCAGGTCTCCGAGCGTTTATTATTATTATTTTTTTTTTTGCCGCTGGTGGCAGCTCCGTCTCGGCCAAGGACTCTGGCTGCGCAGCAGCTGACGTACTGAAAACCAAAGCGCTCCCAAAGGAGCGAAGTAACTTTTCGTTTTGATACCAGTGCAGCCATCCTTCTCAACATGCATCATTGAGTTGAACCAAGTTCAGTAATCGCGGTGGCCCATGATGCAGCGCGGTGGGCGTCTTCATATTGCGATATTTCATTTTTGCGGTTACCGCGACAGCCCTAATCTGCGCGTCTGCAGCCATCCTCTTCTTGAGGTGACAGCAAGTCTTCCTATGTAAGAAAGGTCCGCTCACCTGTTCACCACTCAGGCGTCAGACCATTACTTCCTCGTCATGATCTTTTATCTTCCCATCATCCAACTGGAACCAGTTAGTGTTCTTGATCATTCTCAGAATATGCCACGCCTGCTCTGGTGTTAAATTTAAGTCCTAGATCATATTTGTGCCCGTTCTTCTGTCATTTTCAAGGATTTCTATTCATATATATGTTTTTACTACATTATGAGAAATAGAAATGTTAATAAAAACACCCAATTATACGAACAGTGAAAAAATTAGAATCTGGTGCAAAGTCCATTTATTTAAGTAATTCGACTACACTGAGAGACTATTTAAAGGCTCAGGAACCCTTTGCATGTGTTTTATATTTACAACTATACATTGTAGTTGATTTGGGTCTTGCTTCATATCACACAGTCACATTTGAGTAATTAAAAAGCATTTTTTTAGAAATTAAAAAGCTTTAATTTACAGTAAAAAATAACCATGCCTAATGTTTGATTCTCTGCCTCGTTAGTTTTCATTTAAAAATTGCTTTGAGGTCACATTTTCCTGAACAATTAAAATGTGATTAATTGAGATTAATTAATTACAACGCCTCTAACTAATTAGATTAATATTTTTAATCGAGTCCCACCCCTAGAAAATATACATCTTCAAAAGAGGGCAACAAAGGTGAAATACCTTGCTTGGATTTGCTATCAGCAGGATCTGTGTGACGGCAGCAGGAGGGAGGATGGGATTAAAGGCAGGGAGCTCTGTTCCGGATGGAGGCTGCAGCTTTACAGCTATAGGCTGCAATTATCACGCGCGCACACACACACACACACACACACACACACACACACACACACACACACACACACACACACGATCAGCTGCTGTGGATCTCATTTACAACACCTGAAGGTGGATGAATCTATGACTCCTGACCTGTGGAGCAGTGACCTCCAGATGAATGTTGGTGACAGGAATGGGAGCCGATGACAACATGGAGATGATCACCACCAGAACATCGGGTCGAGATGGAGGCGAGTCCCGAGCAAAGTGAAACAGAACCCGCAGGCTGTGTCCATCAAACACAGTTATGGGTAAGAGACTACCTGGGACAGAACCAGAGACAAGTGGTTAGGATTGATAATCAGAGCGTGTCTTATGATGTAATAAGACTTGCAAACAGGATCAGACTCATTCAGTGGACCTGATTTATATAAAAGACTTACTGGGTTTTATGGACTCTATTGGTACAAAAACATTAGTCAGAGTAGCTTCTGGAGGAGTGTTGGAGTGAAGTGGAGACTTGTCCAGCAGCATGGCTCCCAGGTTAGGCTGACTGTTGGGAAGAGGAGCGGGATGATCGGAAGTAAAGGGCAGAACGGGATTCGCTCCGACGTTGGCTCCAGATTTACTCTGGAGATCCCTCAGGGTTGGTTTGGTCTGCTGCTTGTCCCTGAAAGGACAATAATAATCATTTTATGTTCTTGCGCCTTGATTAGGTTGCAAAGCTGCTTAAAATCAAATTTGACAGAAAAAGACCCTTTAATTAAAGAGCAAGTCACCCCTAAATCAACTTCTTTTTGCTGATATACTAAATAAATGAGTAAATGAATAAAATTCAAATATTCTGCCTAAAACTGTCAGTGTTGCGCCATCGTCAGGTAAAAGTTCTGCACTGCATTTGAATTTGAATATGCCATCGCTATTGGCTAAGAGGTACACCATGACATTGGCTGGTACATTATGATGTCACAATGTTGTTGTGAGCCTGTGTGTATGTATTTGTTAAGACTGCCCTCTCGGTCTGCTAGGCAACAGCATTTGTTGCATTTTTCAAACAGGAAGTGGGAGTGGAGTAAGATTCTGGTAGGGGGTGACTTGCTCTTTAAGTTTGAATGACATAAATATCAAACTGAGCAGAAACTCCCAGCATCAGGGGGAGTTTACTGAAACTCTTCTGACAAAATCAAGGAATAGAATTATAATTTTTAAAAACATACCATTTGACCTGCAGGCCCTCTGGAGGCAGAGACTGCTGCAGGAGGGTCTTCCCCAGCAGGTCCAGCTCGTCCAGAGCCGAGCTCCCCGGAGCGGAGCCAGATGAAGGGTGGTGGGGCTGGGAGGGAGGGTCGGGACTCAGGAGGCTCGGTGCTGCTGTGATGTCTGCGTCTATACTGTCAGACGACTGGGCGACAAAAGAGGACATGTCTCATCAGAGGTTGTCAACAGGAAGTCCAAAATGGGATTCAATGGTTTCCCAGTCCCTCACCTGGAAGGAATCCCATGCTGTGGAGTCCTCGGGGTGGGAGGGGGGGTTGGATGTGTGTGTTCCTTCACTTAAACCTTAAAGACAATCAGGAGTGTTTCAGACCAAAATGAGCGAAGCTGCTCTAGTGCGCTCTAACTCTAGACTCGTAGGTTACCGAGTGACATCAGCTCGTCGTCAAGGAGACTGATCCCCATCTCCTGTGAGAGAGCAGTGAGGCTTTCTGTGGGAGTGGGGAACTCGGGGAAGGACGGGGAGGACTGAGGCGAAGTGTCCAGTCCAGACAGATCCAGCAGGGCTGTCCCTCCTTCGGAGGAATAAAGAGACATGTCTTTTCTAACCGACGCTGATTTAAACCAGCGTTCTGTGTTTTACTCACCTGCAGGTTTGGGTGGGGTGATTGTGTTGTTTCCGTTGATGATCTCCCCCTTCACCTGCTGCTTGTACAGGTTGATGACGTGGGTCAGGCTGTCGTTGGCCTGAAGGATCTCAGCTGCAGAGAAAACATCACAAACAAAGAAATAAATATGTTTAATAGAACTCATGACAGAATGTTGGATTCAAGAACCTCCAACTAGGAGGTAGCTGGTCCCTGAAAGCACCAAGTACATAAAAAAGTAGGGCTGCACAATACATCGCAAATATATCGTTATCGCAATATCAGCATGCGCAATATGCATATCGCAAAGAACAGATAAATATCGCAATGAATGGTCAGCTCAAATGTTTGCTACACATGATGCATTCTGTCAAGCAAACGGACGCATGACGTTTTTTAACTAGTCAAACAGAGCTCTTCACCCATTGGCCAATTGGGTGGGTTTTCATAGGTTAGATGGTTAGCACTAACACTCAACTTTGATGGTTAGCAAACACCTGAGTTAGCTTTGTTCTGCTCTTTCTGCTGATTCTGATTTCCCCGGGATCCACTGATGGCCTTTTCTTGTTCATTTTCTTTTTCCCTTTCCTCGCATCTTTTGCTTTTCTCATTTTTATGATGTTTTAGTCATTTTTAAATTTCTTTGTTTTTTTAATATTTTTGTTCCTGAGTCAAGTTTTTATTTATCGCAAGTAATATAGTAATCGCAATATTATTCATTGTTATCGCATATCGCAGGTTTTCCCAATATCGTGCAGCCCTATAAAAAAGGCACAAATCATGTAGATGAAGTCAAGATACTTATCTGTATTCATTAAAGATTTGAAGATTAAAACTCATTCTGATTCATTAATAAGTGATTGGACCAGTATAGCGGCCCCGTACTGATACCGTTGGTTTTTTATTACATTAGGATCCACTTGACAAGTAGGCCAAATACCTGTGAGTTTATTTCTTTGGGCTACTAACCCCGGCTTTCCACCGGAGCCGTCAGCAGCACGTTACTGCAGCAGCACGTCTTGCTCGCGTAAGCTGCTGCTTGGCCCTTCCCACGAGACGCGAAGCAGCAGGGGAGCAGCTGTCACCGACCGAGCACGAAGTCACACGAGTGACTTCGTCAGTAAACACAACAACAAGCAGGAGAAAACTACAACATGGTTTGTGTTTTATGTTCTGTCCGTTTTAGAATCGCCAATACGGACCTGAAAAACAAAGGAGACCGCTAGCTAGGTGATAACTTCTCACGGGGCCGCACAGTTAGTAACTTCTTTTAAAAGTAAAGCAACCGGAAGGCAGTACGTTCTTTATTCTGAAAATCTCGGGAGCTTCTCTCCATTTCCGCGTCCGATTTCCTGTCTTTCCTTCCCCAAAAATATCGAACTTGACCCGTTTCAGAGGCGTCGCGCGTAGAAAATAGAACCGGCGCATAAAGGCCGTCACATGCTGCTCCTGAGACGCGGCCGACTCGCGCTGCTGACGGCTCCAGTGGAAAGCCGGGGTCACTCGAACCCGAAGTGTAGTTAGGACCGTTTCTAGAATTCAACCCTTCTTTTAGTCGATTGTGCCCATTAATCAGGATTGCTTTCTTATTAGTGGTTCGCTACGGTTTAAAGAAAGGAAACAGTTCCTTTATGTTCTAGTAATTAGGATAGAAAAGGCCTTTTGTTGCACAATGTTGAGTGTTAAACTACTTCAGCTATCTTCAGCTTCTGTACAAAAGTTATATTTCCTCTCATACACAAGTTTTTGATCAAATAACTATTTCGAGGAAAATGAGTTGAATTCTAAATTTCAGCATTCATATCAAAAGGGGTACCCAACAACAACGGCACTAGCACAGATGACTAACGATTGGATGACTAATATGGATAATAGAAAACTAACTGGGATGATATTATTGGATATGAGTGCGGCATTTGATCTAGTGGATCATAATCTATTACTGATGAAATTAGGGTTATATGGTTTTCATGAATCTGCTATTAAATGGGTGGAAAGTTACTTAACTGGAAGGGGGTTTATGGTATTGTTTAAAGGCAGTTATTCTCGAAGGAAGAATCTTTTATGTGGGGTTCCGCAGGGAAGTTTTCTTGGACCATTGTTATTTTCAATTTTTACTAATGACCTTCCATTTATGTTACAATGTGCCACGATTGTATTATATGCAGATGATTTGACTTTAAATGCAACAGAAAGGAATCTGGAGGAATTAAATTCTATTTTGGAGAAGGAACTGAGGTTAGTAGAAAGGTGGATTAATGAAAATAAGTTGGCTATTAATGTGGAGAAGACTAAATGTATGGTGATGGGATCACCATACCAACAAAAATCTTTGCCAGACCATTTAATAGTTGAAGAACAATCATTACACACCCAGAGCCTCATCGCTGTCTTCTGTGTCACTAGCCAGCCTGAACAGTGTCGGTCTCATCTTCTCACAGCGCTGGTACAAGTCCTGATGACACACACACACACACCAGTCAGGCTGTGGCTGCGTAAACTAAAACAGAACATCTGTGTTTTTTCCACCTGTATCAGTTCAGCGTTGGTCTGGTTTGTGCTGTCGTAATCCTGCAGGAGCTGAGTCAGCAGGGAGACGCTCTCCTCCACCTCCTGGATGGCGTTCACGCGCTTCGACACCTTCTCGGCCCGTTTTTGATCCTGAAACCAGCAGCACAGCAGTTTGGTGTTTCATGAACAAAAGCAAAGATAAAGCTGCTGGTGCTCGACTGTTAAAGTGAGTAAACCCCACTATGGTTACCTCGTTAAGTTGAAACCGACACAAGTAATTATAAATAAACCACTAATGAAAAGGAAATCCCAGGAGCAGCTGTGGGGTGAACGGTACGAGTCTGGTGACATCTCTGCGTTTTGTTGATGTCATGGTCCTTTTAGCTCCATCTAACTGGGTTCACATCTGAGTTAGGAACAGCTGGGATCAGGATCAACACCTCCAAAGCCACAGTTGTGGTTCTCAACTGGAAAAAGGGTGGATTACCAACTCCAGATCTGGGGAGAGGTCCTACTTCAAGTGGAAGAGTTTAATGAGTGAGGGGAGGGGGCAGCATCTGCAGTGATGTGGACACTAAACCGGACCGTTGTGGTGAAGAGGTTAGATGAGCTGGAAGGCAATGCTCTCAGTTCACCGATTGCTCTTCGTTCCAATCCTCACCGATGGTCAGGAGCTCTGGTTAATGACCGAAAGGATGCAGGACTTGATCAGGTGGCCGGCCTCAGCTTTAGGGGTGGGGCGAGGGGCTCGGACATCCAGGAGCGAATCAGAGTAGAGTCGCTGCTCCTCCACATGGAGGTGGTTTCAGGCATGTCCTACCAGCGGTCTGACCATACACAACTCAGCTGACTTACCAAAAAGCTCCAGTTTAGTCTCATCTGATCAAAGGACGTTCTACCAGAAGCTTTGTGGCTCAGCATCATGAATTTAAGCTAATTCTACTTAGAGTCTCTAAGCTGAAGACTGAACTAATCTCCCCCAAAATTTTAAACGACAAACGGATTGTGGGTCACTGGTAGCGACGCCTATCCCCTTCGCCCGGGGAACACCTTTCATCCCAGATCCCCGCTCAGTTCATGTTACAGTCGTGAAAGCAGTGCCTTCTTTTCTTCCCTCGTGTTGTGAAAGGAGCAGGTCTACAAGGAGAAACGTGATCGCTAACGGGGGCAGGACGGGTTACCTCTTGGACCATTTCCTTGATGAGTTTGTTGGCAGCTTTCAGATCCTCTGGGTGTGAGCTGTTCAACAGGCGGGACAGCATCTGACAGCGAAGCAACCAGATGACTGTTAGCAAACACAAACAACAGCCATTAATGTTACGAGGCAAGTTCTTACTTTCGACTTCTCCTCATCTTCAAAAATAGCATTCTTGGGTCTGGGTGGTGGAAGGTTGAGTAGCTTGTCTGGGGGCAGCTCTGGGTCTTGTTTAATGATACCTGATTCACAGACAAAAGACAAAAACAAGGTTTTCCACGGTGATCTGAAACATATGATTAGGCTAGAACAATAAGGTGTATTCATCTGATGCTCCTAGCTTCATACCTTGTTTCTTCAGCATCTGATAAGCGTCTGAGATCTTTGGCTCATCAGGTAAACCTAACGTCCAGCTGTAGATCAGCTCCAAAACCTTCCTTTTGACTGCCTCTGGGGAGCGTGAGCCTAAATACTGAACATGAGAGTAAACAGCTGACCACGATGAGGAACGGATTAAAACACGCAGACGGAGACTCGTCGGCCTTACCTTCGGAGAGACCACCTTGATTAGTTCATTGAGAAAGCGGAACTTCCCCACCTCGCTGTGAAACCGTTTCCCACAGTTCTTCATACAGGTTTCCAGAACCTGGCGACCAAACGGGGACGATTACATGAACTGAAGATCAACAGGATGTTTCCTTTTAAATGACGAGTAGAGCTTACTAATAGTGCCTGCATGGCCTCCCACTCCTGTGGGGACTGGATCTTGTGGGCCAGCAGCCTGGTGGCCAGCTGAGGTCTGGAGCAAACATCAAACATAACATCTCTGCTTTTAGCTTCACCTCACTGGTTACCAGTGACTTTTAGAACATAACGCTTGTAGCGTATTTCTACATACTAGAATTAACACGCGCTTCTCTCTCTGATTCACGAATTATAGACGTTCTGGGTTGGAAATGATGGTTTTGCAGCTAACCGAGTCGTTTCTTAGAAGAACAGCATCAAACACAATCTGTGTGCTACCTCACCCATTCAGACGACCCTTCGTGCGAATCCGGAGGTCAAGGGAGGGTGTTGTCAGCCTCCGGCTACTTGGTCCGGTAGAGGAGACCCGAGTGGAACCGACTCTCTGGTCCGAAGATGTCGCAGGGTACACAGTCGAGCATCTGGCTTAACTCTGAAGGAGTTTTGCGTCTTACTTAACTCAAAATCAGTAACTCTGAAAGAGTTTTGCGTCAGCTGGTTATCGTGCGTTTATTCTAAGCTATTCTATCAGTGTGACAGAACAGCAGGTAGAGGCTTCAGGGCGGCCGTTCCCTTATCCTCAGGATGGTGGTTGGTTCACAAACTGAACTTTTGCTGATGGAAATTTCGTTTTAACAAGCCCCTCAGAACACGCCCACTCTCAGAGCAAGAAAGCTTTGGTCATGAGTCAAAGATATGCGATGGCAGTTTACTTTTGGGCCATTTCCATCTGTACCGGGTCGGCCCGGGCCGGGTAGCGTAGGTTGTTTACATATCTGGGTGGCCTGGTACTTTTCCGGGCCAACCAAGGCTCATTCTCAGCCCTCTTCTCGAGGGGGTCTGCTTCAGGCCGACCAGGGCCAACACACCCACTGCTGACAGCAAATTCACACCTTCCATTAGAGCAAGCCTCTGATTGGTGGGTAGAATCAGCCCACATGGGCTTAAGACAAGGATGTGTGGAATCAACCGGGCCAGGCTGGGGCCGACTGGGGCTACCCGGCCCGGGCCGACCCGGTACAGATGGGAATGGCCCATTTTACCCTGGATACCCTCTGAATGAGGCTGGTTACGTGCGAGAGGACCTTCTGGTTATTATACCCAAAGCATAATAATTCATTTCAGTAATTAAAATACATTTATACTGAGCCAAGAGATTATTACTGTTCATTACAACCATCATAAATAAAGTCAAAGAGTTATTAAAATTATTATTTGCTACATGCTGGTAACTATTTTTTTACTGTACAAATTAACAAATACAGTGCATATCTTACAAATCAACAAGATATGAATAAGTACAGGTGGCTAAGAACAAAGCAGCCATCGAACAAAGAACAGAAAAGAACAGTATAGGTCAGAAATAACATAAAGCAGCATACAAGTACATTAAATGACCTTGCATATAAAATAAAGAAAACAAAGCAAAAACAAAAGTAGCACATTCATCTACATCAGTTGAAAAGCAGCATCAAAAATTCAAGTAAGATGTGAGCTTTATTTAATTTACACGTATCTAATGAAGCCTTCAATAGAAGGACAGACTGAGCGGGGCTCGAACCTGCAACCTGCCGATTACGGGGCGAGCACTTAACTCCTGTGCCACCACCGCCCAGCTGCCAGCGAATGAGTTAAAGGGACATTAACGCTGCCAACCTACACACATCATTTCATTTTTTATCATCAAATTTACTGACATGGGAATAATTATCCCGATAAGAGTCAGAAATTTCAATAACGATAAATTTTCGATTTATTGCCCTGCCCCATCTGATCCTCATGAAACGAGTCCCAGATGACCTTATGACCCCTGAGTGTGCTCTCTTACCCTTCTAAATCATTGTTGAGCTGATCACAGAAGGCATGGATGCTGCACCAGTCTGTCTCCCTGTTCAGTGGGTTTGTGGCTCGGTCTGAAAAGACAGACAGACACCTTGATGCAAAATAAAAGCACACCTATTTTTCATGCATAGATGCATTGTTTTGTCATTAAATCGCAGTAATGCTGTGGTGTAATGGTCAGTAAACATTGGCCTATTTCCAAACAAATGAAGAAAAAAAACCCACTACTAAAATAGATACGTATCTATTAGGGATGCACCGATGGATCGGCATTTGATCCCAATCGGCCGATAGCGCCCCTATCGGTTTTGATCGGAGTTTTCGAAATAGATCAAAGCAGATTAGGTTACATTTCCTTTATTCCCAGATTATGTAGTTTGTAGCACTCATTATAATGTTGTAGAAAATTTCTGGCCAATCCACGTGATCGGTATCGGTGATCGGTATCGGTGATCAGCACTCTTTGATATCGGTATCGGTGATCGGCAGCAAAAAACCTGATCGGTGCATCCCTAATATCTATGGATACTTTGTTTTTATATGCATTTTTTTCTCGTGGCACTTAATTTTGATAAATACTAGCTAGTAAACTTAACAATAAGCAAACTTTTAATTTCTCTTTAGAACAGTGACATACACCACAACTGGACCAGGTATGGTGTGCTGTCTCTGATTTATTTACATCATAGGTGTAATTAAAGTACAGGCCTAACTTCTGTTTTAGCATAAATCCTGTCAGTTTCTAAGTTTGCAAGCTCTAACAGTCAGACCCACAAATGAAGCAACCTACTGTCACGATAAAGTCCTGGTCAGATTAGCAGGATTGAAGTCTCTTTTGATCCAGCTGGGGTTCAATTATCAGAGTAGATAGATTACTAAAACAAGTCGACAGCTGCACACTGGGCTGTCTCACAGATCAGACTGAACCCCACAGCCAATGTTTTCTGATATGGTAATATTTACACTTCCACACCATCTATAAAACTGTTCCTATTCAGCCGAGGAAAAGTAAAAACATCAGTGAAGGCAGGCTGTATGCCATCAAGTTTAATATGAAATAAACACTGCACTTATTTAGCACCTTTCTAAGTGTTGAACAACATTTAAAACGAGGGTCCTACCACTGGGAGTAACTTGGTGTTAACCGTCTTGTCCGAAATTAGACATGTCAACAAACCGTGGGGTTGTGGACTGAACTACAACGCTTGTTATTAGTAGACATCCTGTTCTGCCACCTGAGAACCATCATGTGAGAATATATTCGCACATTTATGGATTGTCAGAGTGTCCCTGAAGGCTTTTAGCTGTGAGATCGTGATGAATATGTCAACATAAAAACAGTTTAAGAAACTGACTTAAGAAAATAGTTCAAAAGCAGAATGATTTAACAAAGATGTATTTATCCTCATTCACTTTTCTTTATCTGGACTTAAACCTGACTGAGAAGGAACGTGATCTCTGCACTTGGGAACTTCACCCCATCGCAGCTGAGTGGACCCACAACTTGAAGAAGTTGAACATATTAAAGTCAGAGCTGCACCGCTTCAGCGTGTCGCCGTTTAGGTGCTAGCGGAGTTAACCGGAGCTAGCTTACTTTCGGGAGTTGTACAGAATATTCTGTTTATCTTACAAGGACAAAAAAAGTGTCGCAACCACGGCTGGACCAATGTACCTAAAAGTACTGCTCTCACGATCATTTTACACGCGAGCAGGTAGACGTCGGGCCGTAAAGCGAAAGCTATGCCTGGCTGTTTCCGGAGGTTTGACAGCTGCCATGTACAGCTCGGAGCTAGGTTAGCATCCTGGACGTTACCGCAGGCTTTCACGCTACTCTGCTACGGAACCGGAAGCTGTCATTTGATCTGAAATTCAGTAATAATATTCTTTAAACGTTCCGGTCGCCAGATAGCACTGACTCGGTGGGAAAGAGTTAAAAACACTTACTGATACGCAACTCCAAACTCTCTGTATCGGCAGGCGCAGCCATCACTGCGAGATTTATGTGGCGATTATGTGGTGAGTCTCGCGAGAGAGACGCACAGGTACGTGGCGTGACGTAAAAGACCTAGAGCTAGAAGACACAGAACACTCTGGTTTAGAAAAGCAAAATAAAAGGAATATTTGGTTTGTTTATTTCAGTATATAGATCAAAATACATTATTAAACTTAAGTAATAAATAAAACTTCATATGCATTAGGCTACATAAAAAGTGTATGCCAACTTTAATTAACTTTAATTTATTTTTATTATTGTGTGTGTGTGTGTGTGTGTGTGTGTGTGTGTGTGTGTGTGTGTGTGTGTGTGTGTGTGTGTGTGTGTGTGTGTGTGTGTGTGTGTGTGTGTGTGTGTGTGTGTGTTGGGGGGGGGGGAATACGAGGACTCAGACATAGTTATGTTAAGGCAGATCTAATCTTTCAGAGGCAAAATTGATGCTGTAATCATAGTTTGCTATGTAAAAAACCCACAACGTTAATTACTTATGTGCGAAGCAGATAAAAGTAATTGATCAAATGTGGAAAAATAAATTTATGTACTTAAATTGTTACATTATTTTCACTGCAGAATAGTTATGCCACATTATGTATTTTAAATTAGTAAGCTTATAGCATACAGGTGGTTAATTCTTACAGAAAATATATTTTTGCTAATATTACATTCAGGGTTAAATACTAAGTTACTGCTCCAACATAAATACATAATCTATTGGAAGGTGCGAATAAGTGTGATTTGGAAATGTGTTACTTCTTCCATCACTTGTTATTAAAATATAGTTATTACATTTTACTTATATTAAATTGATCTTTAAAATATATCAAATTAATCAGATAGCTAAGTCATAATTATGAGATTTTTATTTTTATTTTTTTTAATCGGAGTGGAGGGAACTAGCTAACAACTAGCTAACAAACTAACTAGATTTTTTTGTTTGAATTATAATTTTTAGAAATTATCTCGTTTTAAATTACGCCCTTGTGAATTTGCAACTAAAGAACATGTCTAGTAGAGGATGCAGCCTGTAATTAGAAACCTCACTTTTCTAATTATAGCAGCTCTCTACCTCCCTCTAGCGGCAGCTATTGGGTGTGCAGCACAACAAGGAGGAGCAGCCAGGCAGGCAAGCAGCGGGATTTTCTTCACATCAACACCGTTTATCGCGTCGTCTGGGAAGTTTGTTGCTCTGCAGTTACTCGGAGCGCTTTTCACTTCACGGTCGAACTGTTTAGTTAGTTTGGGGTGGGAAAACCCCGGGTCTGAGTTTCCGCTAGGCTCTTAACGGACCTGTTTTTATTTTACAAACCTAAACTTCCTGTCTGCTTCTGCTGAAACTTTGATCTTTGAAATGTGGCCGCAGGAGGTTTCGTGCAAAAGCAAAGTTTGAGAGGGGGAGGGGGCGGTGACCGTTTCCTGTTCTCAGCACAAAGCCAACCTTGTTGACATCTCACGTTTTAAGTGTCATGCTCATCCCGCTAAAGAATGGCATCTCCGATGGAAATAATGGAGTGGTGCCGCCTCACGTGCGCCGGTTATGCTGGAGTGGATATCAGGGACGTGTCCTCCTCGTTCAGGGATGGACTGGCCTTCTGTGCCATCATTCACAAACACAGACCTGACCTAATGTAAGTATAGTGAGATACAGACAGCTAAATTGGCTCACTAAACGTTTCACTGCTTTTTAACCTTTTTCTGTCTGCTTCAGACGTCCGCCTTAATCTGCTGACCTAATCTGTTTTTGGTCAGGATTAATGAGATCAGCTGATTAGTTACCTCAAACATCTACTTTATGACCTTTCAGTCATTCATGTTCAACTCCTTATTTAGGCCGATTCTGCAGTGATGCATCCTTTGTAAGTGCAGGGCTGTGAAAAAGTGTTTACTGATTTTATTTCATTTCTGCATTTCGGAGGGTTACTCTTCAATGTTTCATATCAGCAAACAACTTATCAGACAAAGATGAGTAGATGCAAAATGCAGTTTCAACTTAATTAGCTGGACAAAGCTATCTAGTACCAACCTGGTCCTGTGTGGAGAAGGTATTGTCTCTTGGTCAATCAAGAATTAATTCCCATTAACCAGGTAATTAGAAAACTGAGTTCAGTTCCACCAGACACTCACAGAAGTGATGACCAGGCCTGTAGAGTTAGGAAATCGTTAAGTAGAACCTTTCTGACATCAAGAAGCAGGCTAAAAGATCCCAAAAAGCAGCATGTCATGTCCTGTTCTAAACGAACCCAGAAGGACATGTAAAGCCCCGCAGGCCTCACTTATAGTTAAAGAGACGATGTGTCGCTTTTCTAATTAATTTCTGGAAATATCCATCAAAAAGTTGTTGAAAATGAATGAAATGATGCCCATATGTTGAAAAATAATGGCAGATTTGTCACATATAACCATAAAAATCAGGTCTAAAATACATGGGAGTGGGTCTAAGTCTCTGGACGACGCCATATTAGATGCCATGTTTCCTGCTACAGAAGCCCATGAGGACAAAATGCATTTACTGATTTGTAACAAACGGTTACAAAACTTTCACCATTTTTAAATGTTGTTGTTTGGCACATTAACATTTTCACTTGTTGCCAGTGATGAAAGGGAGTCTGATGTGCTCGTTATTTTGCTGAAGTTTGCCCTCCCCAGGGCTTTTTGACCCTAATGGGCATCCATCGGTAAGGTCTTACTCTAACACAAAAATGCTGCTTACTTGCAATGATGTAGGTACTGCCCCCTATCACCGGGAAAAATACACACTGTCACTTTAAAAAACAAACAAACAGGTGGAATAAAAAAAAGGCAGCAGGCCCAAATCTCCACTGACCAAAAAGATTTTCTCACAGTTCTAAAAATATCTTGATGATCCACAAAAACTTCTGGGAGAATCTTCTGTGGACTGACGAGACAAAACTTTCTGCTTCCTAACCCATTCCATCAGGAGTCAAACTAACTAAATCATCGTCATAGCAACAGTCAGGCATGGTGGTGATGGTCTGGGGCTGCTCTGCTGCTTCAGGACCACTTGCTGTAAAAGATGGAACCATGGATTCTTCTCCCCAGCATAACATCTTAAAGATCGTTCTACCTTTGACCTTAAAGAGCAAGTCACCCCCTACTCCACTCCCACTTCCTGTTTGAAAAATGCAACAAATGCTGTTGCCTGGTAGACAGAGAAGGCGGAGCCACTAACAAATACACATATACAACAACAATGTGACATCATAATGTACCAGCTAACCTCATAGTGTACCTTTTAGCCAATTGCGATGGCAGATTTAAATTCAAATGCAGTGCAGAGTTTTTACCTGAAGAGGGCGCAACACTGAGTTTTAGATGGAATATTTAAATTTTAACTAAGATGCACTGAAGTGCCAAATTATTGACTACACATGTGTACAGCACGATTAGACACACATTTATATAGTTTATGAGCAAAAAAAGGTTGATTTGGGGGTGACTTGCTCTTTAAAGTAACACAAACATTTTTTAAACTTTAAGCTATTCAATTCAATTCAAGTTTATTTATAAAGCGCCAAATCACGACAAGAGTCGTCTCAAGGCACTTCACATAATAAACATTCCAATTCAGGTCAGTTCATTAAGCCAATCAGAAAAAATGTTTCCTATATAAGGAACCCAGCAAATTGCATCAAGTCACTGACGTCGGTGACTTTACAGCAATCCTCATACTAAGCAAGCATCTTACTGTATTTACGCTTATCCTTAACCAGGTAAACATTTAACTATGGTTGCTGGAGCCTCTAATGCCACGTTTCTGACTGGAACTGCCAATGATCAGAGTCGGCTTGTCAGTGGGTGCGTCACTGAGCGGGGAAAATCTATTGGGAACGTGGACGGGTTGGTGGTGGCCATCGACATAAATATACGTGGTGGCCCACAGGCTGGGTTCTATGCTTCCTGCGTACCGTCACCCAGCCGGCCTGAGGTCCCGGATGCTCGGGTTGTGCTGGTGGATCGCTACGGGGTGGTTCTGAGCTAGTTAGCCCCGTGCTAGCTAAGTAGCTACGGCTGTTTGCGGGTTATTCAACAGCGCTGAGCCGGGACTCCAATTCCGACACCCTCGCCTCCTCAGCTACAAAAGTGCTACATTTATTACACGTACCATTATCACTAAAGGAGGCAGAGGAGTAATTAATGGGCCATCCCCATCTGAACCGGGTCGGCCCGGGCCGGGTAGCGTAGGTTGTTTACATATCTGGGTGGCCTGGTATTTTTCCGGGCCAACCAAGGCTCATTCTCAGCCCTCTTCTCGAGGGGGTCTGCTTCAGGCCGACCAGGGCCAACACACCCACTGCTGACAGCAAATTCACACCTTCCATTAGAGCAAGCCTCTGATTGGTGGGTAGAATCAGCCCACATGGGCTTAAGGCAAGGATGTGTGGAATCAACCGGGCCAGCCTGGGGCCGACTGGGGCTACCCGGCCCGGGCTGACCCGGTACAGATGGGAATGGCCCATAAACATCTGACACAGAGAGCAAGAGATAGGAGACGGAGAAGCAGAAACAGAAGTAGCCATAGCCGTGCTGAGGCTAAGCTAACTGGACGAGCAAACTGTTCAACACCAAATAAACTGCGTGCGAACTCAAATGGTTCCCTAAAAGCTAGGTGGAACAAAAGAAAATGTGTGTTTTAGCGTGCTTATGTGCTACAATAACTCAGAGATATCCTAGTACAGAGAAATTAAATCAGTTTTAGCGAGCCCCAAACACCAAACAGCTACACGTAGTGCAACACTGAAAACAGGAAACAGGAAACGCCTTACCGCCAGGTGCAGCCAATGAAAGAGCTTTAACATTGATCTCAGTTATTGTTGGGTTAGAAACTCGACCAGTTTCAAATTTGACAGCACTCTGCTGACCAGATACTGCACTTGACAGTTTTGTGGAGGGGGTAGGTGTTCTAGGGGGCGTTTCTATACACGTGTTACCGCTGTTAGCTATTTTCAGTGCAGTTAGCTTTTTCAGTTTGTTGATCATCAATAAAAAGCACAAGAAGTTGGCTTTTCTGTTGGCAGTACTTGGAAGTAAAAGTAAGAGAGTAATGCTAACAGCCGTAATGCATGTATAAGAGCACCCCCTAGAACACCTACCCCCTCCACAAAATTGTTAAGTGCGGTATCTGGTCAGCAGAGGGCTGCAGAGTGCTGTCAAATATGAAGTTTCTGACCAACAATCACTAAAAAAACTATTTAGTGTTATTTTGCAACAAATCTGTAGAAGAGCGGGACCAAACTCCTCCAGACTGATGTGAGGGAGTCATTCAGTAATCACAAGGGCTGGGTCGATTACTGGGTTTGAAGGTAACTTACTTTTTACAGTTTAATAAATAAAATCACTTTTTCGTGTTTAATCAGTCCCAGAAGAAATCTGTAAATGGACAAATACATTTTGACACACTAGAGTCTCAGATTTTGTGTCTGGTTCTTTTATTTATTTTCATTATTTGTTTACCTCCATTTTTTCTTTATCTTGCTCCAGAGATTTCAGCTCACTCTGCAAAGAAAATTCTTACGAAAATAACAAGCTGGTGAGACATTTCCATTTTTGTTTACATGCAAGCCAGAGTTTTTTTTTAATTATGCCGGGATTGAAATGATTCACACAGAAAAACATAATGAAATGGAAATGTTTATACCGTTAACACCTTTTAGGCATTTGAAGTTGCAGAAACAAATCTGGGGATCCCTGCTTTGCTGGATCCGAACGACCTGGTCCCCACCAAAGCTCCAGACTCTCTAAGCGTCCTCACTTACATTTCCCAATACTACTACTTCTTTCATGGTAAGTCTAGTGGTCTTCTGGTTATTCCTCATTATTTACATTAGTTGTTGCATTAAAATAACAGGCAAGAAGCTACTTTTTAAGCTTTATTAAGGTGTCATTAAAGCTTGAGGGGATTTCTGAATACTTTTGTTGAGATAAGGATCAAAAAATGTGAGGAAGCTATTTTATTTGGGTAATTTATTGAGGTAAAGGGTCAAATATTTGCAAGTGTGTCAACGTTTGGTATGACCTCTCTGTGCAGCAATAACTAGAGGCTGACCGATATATTCAATTTTTTCTATGACTGACATCGGCCAAAATTATTATTAAAAGCAGATTTCGTCATCGTGGTCATCTTCCTCCGCTTATCCGGGTCCGGGTCGCGGGGGCAGCATCCCAACTAGGGAGCTCCAGACCGTCCTCTCCCCGGCCACCTCCACCAGCTCCTCCGGCAGGACCCCAAGGCGTTCCCGGACCAGATTGGAGATGTAACCTCTCCAACGTGTCCTGGGTCGACCCGGGGGCCTCCTGCCGGCAGGACATGCCCGAAACACCTCCCCAGGGAGGCGTCCAGGAGGCATCCTGACCAGATGCCCAAACCACCTGAACTGACTCCTCTCGATCCCGAGGAGCAGCGGTTCTACTCCGAGTCCCTCCCGAATGTCCGAGCTCCTCACCCTATCTCTAAGGCTGAGCCCGGCCACCCTACGGAGGAAGCTCATTTCGGCCGCTTGTATCCGCGATCTCGTTCTTTCGGTCGTTACCCAAAGCTCATGACCATTGGTGAGGACTGGGACGTAGATGGACCGGTAAATCGAGAGCCTGGCTTTCTGGCTCAGCTCCCTCTTCACCACGACAGATCGGCTCAGCGTCCGCATCACTGCAGACGCCGAACCAATCCGCCTGTCGATCTCCCGATCCCTCCTACTCTCACTCGTGAACAAGACCCCGAGATACTTAAACTCCTCCACTTGAGGTAGGACCTCTCTCCCGACCCGGAGTTGGCAGGCCACCCTTTCCCGGTCGAGAACCATGGTCTCAGATTTGGATGTGCTGATTTAAATAAATTAAATAATTAAAAATCTTGCACCTCCGTGGCCAACTGCCGCCACTACTAGACTGAAGAAAGGACCGAAGGACCCCATCACATCCCTTTTTTGAATGTTTTGAGTTTGTTTTATATTTTAAGTTCAATAAATATTAAGAGATTTATTGACTATTTAATTTAGATTTCACACAGTGAGTGTTCGGTTGTCTTTCGCAATCAATGTGCTGCTACAACGTGTATATATCGGCTTTAATAATCGGCTTTAGATATCGGCCATTGGCAACAGAATTAGTTAAAAATCGGTATCGGCATCAGCCTTAAAACAACATATCGGCCGGCCTCTAGCAATAACGAGCAAAATGTTTCAGTTTCTGTTCATCCATCCGTCCGTCTGTCCGTTCAGCCGTCCATCCTCTGTAGTCCAGGAGAGAAACGCAGACCTACCTCTCCTCATTGACACTTTACAGCTCTTCCTGGAGGATCCTAAGATGTTCTCAGACCAAAGAGGATCCTCAAGCAAGCCAAAAGAAAAACCTTCAGAGGGAGGTGAATAGGAAGCATCCTAGTCAGATGCCCAAACCACCTCGGTTGACTCAATTCAATGTGGAGCAGCAGTGGTTCTCACATCTCCTCAGATGATGGAGCTCCTCACCTCATCTCCAAGGCTGAGCCCAGCCACTTGTATTCCTTATCTCGTACTTTTTTCTTTGATCTAAATCTCGTGACCAAATGTGAGGGCAGGAATGTAGACAGACCACCTCCTTCTTCATCACAACAGAGCAGAGCAAAGCCCTCATTATCGAAAATGAATCTCCTGCTCCATCCTACCGTAACTCGTGAACAAGTCGCCAAGTCCTCTGCATGAGACAAGGGCTCACTCGCACAGTGGAGTTAGACCATCGACATATATGCTGGACGATTCATGTCCATAGGCTCCAATTATAAGTTTTGACCGTGTCACAGGTTCCGTCAAGTCCAGACAATTCCATAAAAGGCAAAAGAGGTGGAGCTGAGGGTGGGGCTGTAAGGCTGGGATCAAATGACGACACCCATCGAACTGAAGCGATGTAGCTACAAGCTAACCTAAAGCTAACGTGGAGGTGGGAGCTAAGCTAACGGAGGTAGCAACCTAGCTACAACCGGAGTTAACTGTGCACAACACCAGAGCTTCTGAGTCAGAGATGCGCCGAGCTGCCGCTGAGGGGACCATACCGATAGTCAGAACCCAGCTCCACCAACATGTTATATTTCAACCCATTTTCTAAAGTGCAGCATTATGTTAAATGCACTGGGTTTTACCCTATTACATTTAAATTTCATGGTTAAACAGTACATGTTAAAATCTAAGCTCAGCTCGGCAGTGACCTAAAATACATGAATATAATTTTACTTACCAAAAAAAATGAAGTGGAGACTCCTTGGATGCTCTATTAGTGCAATTAATGCCACAGCTAGTCATTTTGTCCAACAATTTCACAAATAATATCCAAAAAGAACGCACAAACAGCACAACTAATGTTCTGAGTTGAGAGACTGAACAGTTTAAGGCGAGGCTGACGCTCAGGCTGAGGCCTTTCCACGGAGCTAGCTCTGTGGTCATGTGGGTCTGATGTTCATTAATTATACAGAATTTTAGGCTTTTAATACACTTAAACAGAAGAGTGAGAAAAAAATGCACCCTCCTCAGAGTTGTCATGAGTGTAAACTAGATCATTTAAACCAAAAACATGTTTTGGAACCAGACTGTAAACATGTTTATTTCTGCTGTGAAATTGGTATTTTTAACATGGGAGTCAATGAGGATTTGCTCGCTTCTGACACCAGCCCCTAGTGGATGAGGGTGGAACTGCAATTGTTGTCACTTCCTGTTTTGCTTTATATCCAGACCCGAATTATGGGGGCTTGAGTTAGACGTAGGACTCCCAAACCACCTCCTCTCCAGAACTGCGCTTTGGAATCCTGTCCAGGAACACCAACATCAGGATGATGGAGCGGGCTAGGTGGAGTGGAGTGACTCTGGGAGTTAACTCGACTTAGTGCCAAGAACGTGGACACGTCTCTAGCTTTGTGAGGTACTCTGAAAAGTGAGCCTGGATCCATGAAACACATGGACTGGAGAACCAAACTTTAATGAGCCGCTCCACAAGGCTGAAGATCTGCTCCACTTTTTCATAACGTGGGTTAAAACCCACAAACTGTTCAGCAATCAGTCTCAAAAAGCCAAACTCTAGCGTCGCCATGTTTTACAGCTGGGATAAGGATCAAAGTAGTCACCCTTGTCTATGAATTAATTATCAGTGACTTATTTTCAGTTGAGATGCTGCTGCTTTAAAGATTAATGTGTTCATAGCAAATTTCATGTGACTGATATCTGTGTTCATTTATGAACCTTTTCTATCTGCATGTAGGTCCCTTCAGATCTGGATCATCTCACAGCTTGAGCAACATCCCAAAGAGTCATAAAACTCCCAACAGCAGGAGAAGCTCCAAGGTACAGCGGCGCTTTGACTGGTTCTTGTTTACCTGTACGATCGCAAACATCACGCTGTTCGTCTGCGTCTTCTTCCAGAGCTCAGTTGATCTGGAAACCACGACAGAAGAGCACGCGAGGAACGGGGTCATGTGTAGTTTCTGTTTAAAGCCTGTTCACCTCATACAGAGATGTCTGAGTGACGGGAAGTTTTACCACCGCAGCTGTTTCAGGTGAGGCGTTCGATCGTTTTAAAGGGGTCACATAAAGCAAAGCTCACCTTTTGCATCCCTTCATGTTTGTTGTCAACGCCGTTTTTAGTTTTCTCACAGCGCCTGTTCATCAGAGGCTTACTTTTTAGGCTGTTTCACGCAGGGGTGTGGTTACCATGGTGACCTTAATGCAGCGGTTCCCAAACTTATTTAGCCGCGCACCCCCTTCTATGTCCCGACCATGTCGACGCACCCCCCAGCCCCCACATCAGGGCATGGCTATATATATATATATATATATATATATATATATATATATATATATATATATATATATATATATATATATATATATATGTATATATATATATATATATATATATATATATATATATATATATATATATATATATATATGTATATATATATATAT